CCTGTGACCCCAGCATCTTTCCAACAATTCCTGTCCCCTGCGGTCGGAGGCGCAGCCCGGAGCAGCGCACAGTGTCGAGAGCGTCGTGTGGCAGGCGGCCCAGAGAAGAGGAGCAGCAGGCAGTACGCTGCAAGGACCATCCCAGGCGGTACCTGCCAGTACTTGGAGGAGCAGCGGTCGATGCAGCTGTTCTCCCCCACAGATAGCTCGCCGTCCTTGTACCTGTCAATGGCGGAAGCCAGAGGGCAGCAATTGCGGGGTGGTGGGGAGGGACGCAGGCGAGCGGCACAAGCAAGCGTCGCACGCGTGGGTGGTGGGTGATGTTGGTGTGGTGGTGGCGGCGGCGGTATGCCACGGGCTGGAGGGGTGGATGGAAGAAGGCAAAGGGGGCAGGGGCCAGGCGCGCACCTGGCTGCTGTTGCCGGCGGTGGTGGAGCCGCCCTTCTTGAACACGGGCCTGAGCTGGCCCAGGGAGGCGGGGGTGGTGCCCGGGCGGATGCCGTCGTCCTGGTCAATCACCACGCGCCGCTCCTCGCCTGGAGGGAGGGGGGCAGGCGGGCGGGTCAGCGCGAGGGAATGCGCCGGCGCGGCGGGTGCAGCGCGAGCGCGGCGGGCAGGCAGGTCCGGGCAGGCATGGCCTGCTCGGCTCGGCACGCCTTTGCCAAGGCCGCACCAGAAGCAGGACCTCGCGCGCCAATCCCCAGCACCAAACAAACTCCGCGCTCCCTCCCTCCCTCCCTCCCAACCACCACTGCAACCCGCCCCGCCGCGCCTCCCTCCCTGCCTCCCTCCCTCCCACCACCACCACCAGCCCCAGGCCCACCCGTCTTGGGGTCCTTGAGCACCGTGGCCACCGGCACAATCTCGTCGCGGAACTTGCCGGCCGCCTGCGCGGCCGCCGCCAGCGCGTGGGAGCGCGCTGCAAACGCGTCCTGCACCTCGCGAGACACGCCGTACTGCGCCGCCACGTTCTCGCTGGTGATGCCTGCGGGTGGAGGGGCGGCGGCGGGTTTGAAGGTGGGGTTGGTGGCGCAGGAAGAGCAGGGCGCAGGAGAGGCAAGCGGGTTGGGGGACGGGGTTGGTGGCGGAGGCGGCGGGGTGTGGAAGCCGGCGGCGAGGGGCAAGGACGGGGCGGGAGATGCAGGCATGGGGGCCACCGCAGCAGGGCTGCGCGGGCGTGCATTGGCGAACCACACCACCCCGGGGGCGCCGCTGCTGATGTGCTGTGAACCGCTGTGCTGCAGGCAGCGCGGCTGCCGGCACGGCGTCGGCGGCTGCGGCGGCTGCGGCGGCGGCGGCGGCCGGCGCACCCATGGGCAGCAGGCAGTCCTGGGCGCACTGGTTCTCGGCCACCCGCGGGTTGATGGCGCCCTCCCAGGCCATGGGGTTGGTTGTCATGGACTCCACCCCACCGGCGATGCCGACCTCATAGTAGCCGGCCTTGATGGACGCAGCCACCTGCGCAATGGCCTGCAGGCCTGCTGGGCGGGCAGCGGGAGGGCCGGGGGCGCTGGCAGGGGTGCGAGGCGTCAAGCCGGGGCAGGGCTGGGAGGACAGGCTGGGGGCGAGGCAGCTGGCGGGTGGCGGCTCAGGGGCAACCGCCTTGTTCCCAACCCCTGCACCGTGCTGCGCTGCCATGTCCGCATGCCCACAAGGCCCTGCGCTGCACCTGAGGAGCACTGACGGTTGACGGTGTGCACGGGCACCGAGGTGGGGAAGCCGGCGAGGAACATGGCGATACGGCACTCGTTGGCGCGCTGGCTGGAGGGGCCCATCACGCTGCCAAAGCACACGTCGCCCACGGCCTGCAGACAGGGCGGCAGCACAGGGCAGGCAGGTGGGTGGAGTGGTGGGTGGGGAGGGCTGGCTTGGTTCCCGGCCGAGGCAGCAGGCAGGGACACATGAGCGGCGCCTGGGGGCCACGGCGAGCTTGCTGCCCTTACGACCCTCCGCTGCCTGCATGCCAGTAAGCCTGCGTTCCTGCTACCATCAGGCCGCCCTGCAGCAGCGCCCCAGCAGCGCACCACAGCTTCCGCGGCAGCGGCTGCTGCCCTCTCCCTAGCACCCACCTCTGGCTCCACTCCTGAGCGGCGGATAGTCTCTTTGAGCACCGTGGCGATGAGGTCATCCACCGGTGTGTCCTTGAAGCCGCCGCGCTTGGCCTTGCAGAGCGCGGTGCGGCAGGCGGACACGATGACGACGTCATCGCAGGCCAGGTTGCGCCGCTCATAGGCGGCCGAGTCGCCGGCGGAGGTGGGGTGCGCGCTCATCGGCGGTGGGGCGGGGGCGGCCTGCGGGGCGGGGCGGGAGGCAGGAGCCTGGGCCTCAGCCGGCAGGGGCGCCAATCCGACGCGCCGCGGCCTGATGAGCGTGTCGGAGTGCCACTGCAATGGAACGAAGCGCGACAGAACTCACCGCTGCTTCGAGGTGGCCCAACAGGACCTGTTGCCGGTGCGCTGCGCGATGCATGACTGTGGCGTGAGAAGGGGGCGGTCGGGAGCCGGACTGCGACACCTGCTGTTCCGGCCTCTTCCAAGGCAGTTACAGGGGACGCACCCGGTGACAGACAGGCGAGGCACACAGCGAGGGGAGGCTTAAGATGGGGCTTACAAATGCTGAGCTGTCCAAATTCCTTCCTCCACCAAAATTGCGCCGCCTGCAGAAGCTCTGAGCTCGCAGCATTATTGAGCAGGGTGTTTGGGGCGTGTTTAAGCGGCTGGACCACCCTCCAGAACCCTCAGCCGCACAGAGTGAGTTTCTCACTCAGCGATCTGCTGGTCTGCGGTGCAATTCTGACGAGGAAGGACATGGTCAATTGATCCAGGAGGCACGCGGAACAGGGCAGGCAGCGCCGGGTGGGCGGCGGCAGCCCTCCCTGCCGCTACTTGCACGCTGTCCCAGGCTGACCTGCGCTCCCATGCTGCTTCTCTCCCTGCAGGCAACTGGAGAAACGCAACCGGGAAGCGCCAGTCTGCGCATCAACCCTCCCTCCTGGATGCTGTCAGCACGGTGCAGGGTCACCACTGCCTCTGCCGTCCACCTGCTGCTCATCACAGGTGGCCCGCCCACCTGTAAAACCACCTGCCCAAAACGCACCTTCTGCATGTTGATGCCTGGTGAGCCATGCTAAGAGCTTCCTGCCTGCATCCCTAGGTGCAGGAGCATCCCGCCCCTCGGCCGCTGCTTGCAGCCCCGCCATTGCCAAGGCCTTCCGGCGCCCACCCAGCTGCCCCGCCAGCCCTGCGCCTGCCTTTAGCTCCCTGTCATCGACAGCCCGGCCTGCCCTCAGCCCCAGGCAGCGCAGCATGGCCACCGCAGCAGCGGCGGAGAGCATCGGGGGCGCCGGCGTGCTGCAGATCGAGCGCGTGCCATGCCTGAGCGACAACTACTCCTGGCTGCTGCACGAGCCGCAGCAGGGCGTCACGGCGGTGGACCCTGCAGAGGCGGCGCCGGTGCTGGCGGCGCTAAGGAGCAAGGGCTGGAACCTGACGCACATCATCAATACTCACCATCACTACGATCACGTGGGCGGGAACGCGGAGCTGCAGCGCGAGTTTGGGTGCACCGTGGTGGGCCCCGCGGCAGACCACGCCCGCATCCCGGGCATCCAGGTGCAGCTCAAGGATGGGGACAGGTGAGCGGCTGGCCTGGGGCATGCAGGGTGGGGATGGGGGCCTCTGCTGATCTCACAGCTGAGCGTTGGCCAGCTGGCCGTGAGGAGGCCGGTCCCCTCGCGGAGCATCCGGCACCTGGCACATCCCCACCATAAGCGCGCCGCCATGCGGGTCGCTCCCTGCCGCAGGTTCCAGTTTGGGGCAGCGGAGATGGTGTGCTATGACACACCCGGCCACACGCGGGGCCACGTGACGTACCACTTCCCCGCCGCCAAGGCGCTCTTCCCAGGCAAGCGCAGCACGTGCCGGTGCGTGGGCACCAAGGCGGCCCACGGCACCAGCCGCTCCAACTCCAGCCGCTGCCCCTTTGGCTTCAGCGCGGCAGGCGGATGCGCCTGCTCAGGCCAGGCGCATTTCTGAGATGCTGTCGCCGTCCTCCACAGGCGACACGCTCTTCAGCCTGGGCTGCGGGCGGCTGTTTGAGGGCACGCCGGCGCAGATGTGGGCCAGCCTGAGCAAGCTCACGCCGCTGCCGGGGGACACGCTGGTGTACTGCGCACACGAGTACACAGCCAGCAATGCCAAGTTTGCGGCCCATGTGGACGAGGGCAACGAGGGTGAGGCAGTGAGCTGGCGTGCCCGCTGGCTTGCGCCAGCTTTGTGTTTCTGCGCGGTGTGGCCCCACCCACCCCCGACACCCCAACGCCGCCACCCTGCACCCCTGCAGACCTGCAGCGCATGAAGGCAGACATCGAGGCCAAGCGGGCGCGGGGCGAGCCCACCGTGCCCAGCCAACTGGGCGACGAGCTCAAGTGCAACCCCTTCCTGCGCCCAGGCACGGTTCTGTGGTTTTGCGCTCCAGCTCCTGCCTGCTGCAAAGTTGGGTGGGCCTGCAGGCGGAAAGTGCTCCTCTCCTGCCCCAACCCGTTGCAGATAGCCCTGCCATCCGCTCAAAACTAGGTGTGCCAGAGGGCGCAAGCAATGACGTGGCGTTTGGAGCCATCCGCGCCGCCAAGGATACGTTTCGCTGAGACGGCTGGAGGCCGTGTTGTTGCCCGCCTGACCACCTGAGTCCTGCACCTGCTGGTTCGGCTGGGCTTTGTTTGAGTTGGACTGAAGCACCTGGATGCCATGGCACCAACCGCAGCAGCTTGCCATACAGCTGCCTGCCCTCATTTCGTGTCGCACTAGCAACTCCTGCCCTTGGAGCGGCAGCCTTTGATGTCAAAATGTGATTTGACAATGTTGCCTGGCAGCGAGCTCGGGCAACTGGAAATGCAGGCACGTGGCATTCCTCGGCAAGCTGCTACTGCTTCGCCGCCTCGATTAGCGATGGCAGCAGCAGCTTGATGAGGCCCTTGGGGTTGTCGGCATGCACCTGCGCCAGCCACCAGACAGCAGAGTGACGCGCCACACTAGCACTTGTGCTGAGACCGACACTGCCCGGTTGTGCTTTGGGAAGCAACCAACCAGCAGGCGAACACAATGTGCATGTGTGCTGCCCCATGCAAACCGGTACTATGTGCATGCCTCCAGCCAGCCGTCGGGCCACCAGCTTACCCAGTGGCCCGCATCCGGCAGCTCGTGGTACCGCGTCTGCCCCCGCACCGCCGCCGGCTGCGCGGTGGCCGCCACCGCCCCCTGCACCACCGCCAGCGTCTCTCGGTCCCACCGGTCGCTGCGCATCGCCCGCAGGATGTGCAGCGTCACGCCTCGCGGCGGCGACCTGGCGCGGGAAGCAGAGGGCGCACAGGGAGCCATCATTCCGCGGTTGGGCTGGGCCCTTTGCCGCTTTGACCCCTGGGGTACACACATGGGCACCCTCTGCTCCACCTGCTGGCAGCAGCGCCGGACGCAGAAGAGGAACAGCGCCTCACTTGAGCAGGGCGGAATAGTCTTGCGTCAGGTAGTCGTCAAACATCGCCGCAGCCCCCTCCACGTTGAAGGTCCACACGAAGCGGCCATGCCCATCCGGCACCAGGCTGCTGCCTAGCCACTGCTGCAGCCCTGCAGGCGGTGCAGGCAGCCACGCCAGCCAGGCGGTGCGTCGGTTGGCAGGCAGGTGGTTGGGTGGTGGTTGCTGCACTGGGCAGGGCGCCTCCCTTCCTGCCAGCGATCTGCAGCACACTCGGCCAGGTGCGCACCTGTAGAGAGGCCACGCTCCTTCAGCTGCTGGTGCAGCGCGTCTCGCGAGGCCAGAGGCAGCTGTATGCTCTGCACCGTGGACAGCACGTGCTGCACCTCGCGGGTGGCGGCGTCGGGCGCCCCGTGCAGCGAGTTGGGACGTGCATCCAACACCCATACCTGCGACCGAGTGAGAGGCGCAGGACAGGTGGCGGGTGGCAGCCGAGGTTGACAGCCCGACTCTGCCCTAAAGGCTGGCTCAGTTTCCAACACCCAGGATCAAGCTCCTTGCGGCAAGAAGACACCACGGCAAAGGCATGAAACCCACCTGCTTGGGCTGCCCCACCGGCGCCCCGGGCAGCGCCAGCTGGCGCACCACCTCCAGCGCCGTCTTGCCGCCCATGCTGTGACCGATCAGTGCCTCTGGCGCACGGCCGCCCAGCTGCTGCTGCACCAGCCTCACCACGTCGTGGGCTGCGCAGCTGCGGCGGGGGAGGGCACAAGGCGGGCGGTTGGCCAACTCCGGCGGTGCGACAAAAGCAGAGGAACGTGGTAGAGGCGGAACCTTATCCTGCTTACCGCAGGTCGTGGGGCGGCGGCAGGCTGGCCAGCTGTGCGGACTTGCCGTGGTTGCGCAGGTCAACCAGCAGGCCGCGCCAGGTGGCGCCTGTTTGCTCTGCCGCCTGCTTGCACAGCGCCGCAACCATGCCACGCAGGTTCCTGCAGCACGGATGCCGCGAGCGGCGGGATGGCCTGGAGCAGCTTGAGCATGCCTCTCCTGACTGCTGATCTCCATGGTGACCTCACTGCAGTCACAAACCTGCCGCTGCCCAGCAGCCCATGAAGCACCACGGCGGTGTGCGGCGGCGGCTGGTTGGCGGCAGCGGCGTGTCCCTCGGCCAGCCCTGTCACAGATTCATAATACAGGCCGTTGCCGCTGCAGACTCCCTTCTCCAGCCTCCCGGTGCCGTGCAGCCATGCACGGCGCTGCAGGGCTGCCAGCAGCGGGGCATACAGGGAAGGTGCTCGGTCAACCAGGAGCCCAGGAGCCGTCAGCGTCATTGTCAGAATCTATGCCGATAGGAGGAGTGATCCAATGCAAAGGGGAGCAATCAGGAGGCCGTTTTCAGCAGCCGAAGTGGAGGCCAGCCTGGCACCAATTTTGTGTCGGCTTGATCGATCGCAGGGACCTCCCTGATCGCACAGAGAGCCCAGCCGGATGTGCCAGCAGCCTGCTCGCCTTTCAAGTCTGATTCTCTAAGCTCAACAAAACTGGCGCGGTTGCTGCTGTCCTCTAGCGTCAAGGCAGCAGGGATGCTGAGCTCTCTGTCAGGGGCGTTGCGCCAGGCGGGCTCATGCGCTGGCGACCAGCTGCTGGTGCGCCCCGCTTCTCTTGGTTTGGGCCGCTGGCTCCTTGCTGAGTCTCTCCAGCTGCCATGCGATCAAAGGAGCATCGCCCCACGTGCTCCTGCTGCTGCTGCAGGGGCGACGGCGGCAGCAGCTGCCGCCAGCGGGCTGGCCCCCGACCCCCTGCCAGCGTCGCCGCCTAGTTTACGCCTCTGGCAGCAGCAGCGCAGGGGATGCGGGCAGACGAGGCCACCAACAGCAGAAGAAGCTCACCATCCTGCACTTCAATGACGTGAGTGCGCCTGCCGCCCCATCTTGTGCCTGCTGCCTTGCTTCTCGGTGTTGCATCCGCAGGAGGGTGCGCTGCATGCGTACCGATTCTGCTCGGCGGTATGCCTGGCAATGCCGAGCTGCAGGTGTACAACATCGAGCAGCGGGGCATCGAGCCGGTGGGCGGGGCGGCGCGCTTTGCCTCCGCCATGCGCCAGTTCCGCCACGAGCAGCCGCTGGTGCTGTTCAGCGGCGACTGCCTCAACCCCTCGCTGACGAGCGCTTTCACCCGGGGGGAGCAGATGGTGCGGTTGCTGGGGAATGCAGCGGTTGGTTGGCCTAACAGTCGGCAATGCCGGTCATCCATGAAGGATGCCCACTCAGCGGCTGCTTTTCTCCCGCCCCGCTGCAGGTGCCCATCTTGAATGCCTTGGGCGTGCAGGCGGCGGCGGTGGGGAATCATGACTGTGAGTTAGTTGGCTACCAGTCGCTGAGGGCAGCGCTGAGCAGTGTTGGTTCATGCCATCCCAGCGCAATGCTTGCCTTCTTGCGCTGCTGCCCCTGCGCGCTCATGAATCGAACGCCGTCTCCCCGCCCCCTGCAGTCGACTTTGGCATCCCCACGCTGCAGAAGCACATGCAGAGCTTCCGCTTCCCGTGGCTGCTCAGCAACGTGCTCGATGCACACACCGGCAAGCCGCTGGGCGGCGCGGAGCGCTCCCGCATGGTCACCTGGCAGGGAGTCAAAGTGGGCCTCATGGGGCTGGTGGAGCGGGAGGTAGGGCCAGCAGCTGCCTGGTCCTCCCGTCTCTTTGTGCCTTCTGCCCTGTACTCATGACGATGAGGCAACGCCCCGTGTTTTGTTTATTTTGTTTGTTTTGTCCTTTGCTGTTCTGCAGTGGCTGCTGACCATCCCCAGTGTGGAGGAAAGCGACATCCACTTCCTGGACTTCTGCTGCGAGGGGCGCCAGCTGGCGGCTGAGCTGGCGGCGGACGGCGCGGAACTCATCGTGGCGCTGACCCACATGCGCACGCCCAACGATCTGGTGCTGGCAGCTGAAGTGCCGGAGATCCAGGTGAAGGCTGTGCTGGGAGCGCCAATGCCCATGCCTGCCTGCCTGCCTGCCAGCCAGTCACGCAAGCCGCCCGGCCCTTGCTTGGCCTGCCCGCCACGCCCTGCAGCTGGTGCTTGGGGGCCACGACCATCACTGGGAGGCCACTGTGTCCCGCCCTCACGGCACCCTGGTGCTCAAGTCTGGCACCGACTTCCGGGAGTTCAGCGTGCTCCGCCTGGCGGTGCCCGCCAGCCTGCAAGGTGCGCCTGGTGGCTGTGCAGGCAGCGGCGCTGTTCACGGCGCTGTGCGGCGCTGTGCACGGTGGCGGCGCCTGTTAGCGGCCTGCTGCTGGCTACATGCTGCCGTGGCGGATGCGCCTGTATTCCTGCCTCCCTGCTCTCCGTGTCACCGCCTGCGCACACTCCTGCTCCACCTCTCCTCCTGCGGCCTCCCGCTGCCTCCTGACCTGCCCATCTGTCTCCCTTCTCCGTCCTGTTTTCTCGCAGATCGGCCCCCGGTGGAGTGGGAGCGTGTGGAGATCACCTCGGCGGTACCGGAGGATGCTGAGGTGGCGGCCATCGTGCGCAAGTACCAAGACGTCATCGGTGAGCTGCATTTCGCCCCTTGCCAGTCTCGTTCTACTCTGTCTTTCTTGCTCCCGACTGCTGCTGCTTCTGTTGGACGCTCATACCACCACCACCACACCTCTTTACCATGTGCACACACGCATCCGCCCCTCCCGCCTGTCCCTAATTCTTGCAGGCACCAAGATGGACGAGCCCATGGGGTGGAGCCACACCGACCTGGATGCCCGCTTCGACACGGTGCGCCGCTCGGAGTCCAACCTGGGCTCCCTCTTTGCCGACGTCATGCGCATCTCGCTGGGGGCAGACGCCGCTTTCTTCAACGGAGGCACCATCCGCTCGGACCAGGTGGGCGGGCAAGGGCAGCGAATGGTGCATGGCGGCAGGCGGTTTGCAGGGAGGCGGTTGCCTTCCGCCCTTGAGACACCCCCTGGCACCCCTCATGGCATGTCGGCGCCGTGGCAGCTGGGGGCAGGCGGTGGCAGGTCATCAGGGCGTGCCACGATGCAGGCTGCCTGTCCCCTCCCACGTGCCTCGCGTTTCTCTGCGTCTCTCGTGCCCTGACCTGCTGCATCGGCTGTGCGTGTGTGCTGTGCAGATGCACGCCGCGGGGCAGCTGCTGATGCGTGACTTTGTGTCCATGCTGCCTTTCACTGATGACCTGGTGCTGCTGGAGCTCAGCGGAGAGGGGCTGGTGCAGGTGCTGGAGACGGGGGTAGGCGGCCTGCCCGCCTTGGAGGGCCGATTCCTGCAGGTGCGGTGTGGTGTGTGGGTGTGGGTGGGTATGTGTGCGGCATGCGAGGCTTCTCTTTTGTGTGTGCATTGGGGCAGGTGCTCCTGTGCTGCGCTTCGTGTTTCTGCTCATGGCATGCATGCTTGAATGGGCTCATGCAATCAGCCGCCGCTGCTGCCCGCGCCGCCGGCCGCAGGTGTCTGGCATCTGCTTTTCGTTCGACGTGGACCAGCCGGCGGGCAGCCGCGTGGCGCCTGGCAGCGTGGAGGTGGCGGGAGAGCCGCTGGATCTGAACCGCAAGTACAAGGCGAGCAGTACGCTTTGGAGCTGCTGGTTGCAACTCATGGTGCATGCCCTGGACGCTGGTTGGTGCCTGCCATGCCAGAGCCCCGGGTGGAACATCCTGTTGTAAGTATCCTGCACCCTGCACGCTGATGTACCGCTGATGTACAGCTTCTTGTACCGCAGGTGGCCACCAAGGCGTACCTGCGCGGTGGCAAGGATGGCTTTGAGAGCTTGAAGACGTCTGCCGTGCTGGTGGATGGCGAGACCAACCCCCGACTGGCCACGCTTGTGCAGTATCTGTGGATGCGAGTCGAGCAGCTGAACGAGCAGCTGGCAGAAGAGTGGGCCCGCATGGTGCAGCGCGAGCAGCAGCAGCGGACAGCGGGCGGCGAGGAAGAGGAGCAGGCAGAGGTGCTTGATGAGGCAGCTGCAGGAGCGCAGCAGGGCGGCAACGGCAGCCGCGCGAGAGCGCAGCAGAATGCTCTTGCCACCGTCGCAAGCAGCAGCAACGGCAGCAGCAACGGCAGCGCCGCAGCGGCAACAGAGCCTGCTATGCCGGCAACAGCTGTAGCGTCTGTTGACGCAGTGTATTCGCCCGGCGCGCCCATGAGCGGAACAGCAACGGGCGGCCCCGGCAGCATCCCGTTTGCCGCGGAGCAGCACGTGCACGAGGTCAGCAGCACCGGCGCCGCCATCAGCCTGGCGCTGCTGCTGCAGCAGCGCAGCGAGCAGCAGCTGGAGCAGGGCAGCAACGGCGGTGACAGCAGCGGGGAGAGCGCGGGCGAGGAGCCGTGGGTGTCGCTGCTTGACAATGAGCAGCAGGCCCACTCCAGCGCCGCTCTGTCAGCCCTGGCCTACTTGGAGCCCTGTGCACACGGCCTGGACGAGCTCATCGTGTTTGATGCGGTCAAGCGCCGCTTCGGCATCGCCCCAAGGGTAGAGGGGCGCATCCGCAATGTTGCACCATCGGCGGGCGACATGTAGCCCGCCGCTGGCAAGCGCCGTGACTGCTTATTTCATGAAACCCAAACACAATTTCTTGCATTTGTTTCCCCTTGCATTGTTTCCCTTGCGACCGGCAGCGGCATGCCCTTGCCCTGCCATTCTTGTAGAGCCGCCACCGGCGGCTCCCATCCCCTGACGCCGCACCATTCTTTTCCACGGCATCCCATGATGCCAGTGGCGTGTGAACTGCTTACAGGCCTGCATCCCTGAATGGCTGGGATGCGTGAACCAGCTGATGCACAGGCATGCATGTAAGCCAGAATGCTTCAGGGACACGCGATGGGCGGTGCTGAGGGGTTGGCAGGGCATGTGAGACACACCAGCCCTCCCGCCGCCTTAGGTCTTAAGCGCCGGCTTCTTCACTCGGTCCCCGATGCGAACATACTCCTTGGCCTGCTGGCAGAAGCGCCCCCGCGCATCATCGCCGCCGATAATCTTCTTCTTCACAATCTGCACCACATCCTCGTCCTCCAGCTTGTGGGACAGGCCGCACCTGCGCTGGGGGCGGGGCAGTGGAGGTGTGTGCGTGCTCCGGCCGGGGGGCAGGGTGGTGGTGGCGGCGAGGGGGGTGCGGGACGGTGGGCAGCTGAGCAGCAGTTGGCTGAGCAGCAGTTGAGCAGGCGGGGCGGGGGGCATGCGAGGAGGAGGCACGGGCCAGGTGTTGCAGCCACAGGAGTCCCACAGACTGCTCTAGCAGGCACACATCCACCGGCTGCCACAGCAGCCAGCCTGTATCCCTCAGGTTGCTCACCGCTGCGGCATGTGCTTGGAGGAGGTGCCCCACACCAGCGCATACTGAAACTCCTTCAGCAGGCTCTTGTGGATCATCTCGCAAAAGTGCTGCATGCTGGTGCCGCCACGGTCCTCGCTGCGGGGCACAGGCAGTCGAGGGCCGGATAAGTGTGGGGCTGGCAGCCGCATCGAAACACCTCGCACAACCACACACAGCACGACCCACACACAAGACCACCACCACAACCGCCACCGTGCCACAGCAGCATCCTGACAGTACAGCACAGTACAGGCAGGGCCATCGCCCGGCAGTACCATCACCAAGCAGCGCCCCACCTCAGCACCACCGGGTCTCCAAAGTCGGGCTTGTGTCCCACCTTCTTGGTATACACCCGCACCAGGCCCTGCAGGGCAGGCAGGCGCACAGGCAGGTGCATGGGCGAGGGTTCCAGAGGTGGCCTGGGCCCGCAGCTGCACCCTGGCTTGCCCTCTTCGCCCTGCCTCCCTCGCTCCCACCCTCCCTCCACGATTCCAGCCCCACCAACTCAGCCCCACCCCCACCTCCACAACCAAACATGCAAACAAGACACATATGCACACGCACACAAGTCCCCAGGCCCCACCATCATATCCCAGATGCGCGCCAGCAGGCCGTCAAAGTTGAGCTTCTGGTAGCAGGAGATGGGGATGGAGTGCGGGCGCCGCGCCATCTCATCCACCTCCTCCATGCTGCACACGTCTATCTTGTTGTACACGTACAGGCCTGCGGTACAGGCAGCATACCAAAAGCAGTACAACATCACGGTCAGACAAGGTACAGACCAGTTCGAGCCACTGGTGGCAAGCAGGGGTGCCTGGTTTCGCTGTCGATCTGTCGTGCGAGCTCTTGCAAGTTGCTGCCTTCCCATCGACACGTGAAGCCAAGGCCACTCACACTTGACGTATCTGCGGTTGCCCTCTATCACGTCGATGAGGTCGTCCATGGTGGAGTCCTCCTTGAACAGCAGGTCGCAGTTGTGGATCTTGTACTCCTGGGGATGGAGGGAGCGGGGTGGGAGGCAGGCAGGCAGGGAGGGAGGGAGCCAAGCGGGGTGCAGGCAGGGGGAGGTGGGACACATGCCACATGCGTTGAGAGGCATGGGGACGGCATCGGGGGACAGAGCTTGAGTATAGGGCTGGTGTGTGGTGCCACAACAGCGCATGGCAGGCCAGGCCGCTGGGAGGCGGCTGCGGCAGCCCACACCTGCAGGATGCGCTGGATGGTGCGGTCGTCCAGGTTGGTGAGGGGCAGCATCGAGTTGATGGCGATGCCGCCCGTCTTCTTCTTCTTGAAGAAGATGTTGGGGGGCTTGCGGTTGAGGCGGATGCCCACCTGCATGGGATGGGGGCGGATGGGGAGGGATGACTTGCATGTACGTGCCTGACAGTCTGACGTGCCGGCAACCGAGCTTGTGGGCAAGCACCAGAGTGCGGAGGAAGCGGTGTGTGGAGCACCTGCTGCCGCAGGGCTCCCGCCACTCACCGACTCCAGCTCTCGTGTCAGGATCTCGCGGTGGTAGTGCGGCTTGCCGGCATCCAGCACCATCAGCAGCAGGTCCGCCGACTTGCAGACGGCGATGACTTGCCGGCCGCGGCCTGCACGGCAAGCGAGGGATGGTGGAGGTGAGTGCATGAGCAGCGTGTGCAGCGGCCACGGTGGCAGGCGTGTGTGGAGTGGCCCCGCCTGCCAGGCGCCTTCAGCGGCGGCAGGTTTGCTTCAGGGACGACGGGGATTGCTTGCCTTTCCCCTCTGCCGCGCCCTCGATAATTCCGGGCAAATCTAGCAGCTGGATCTTGGCTTCGTTGTAGTGGATCACGCCCTGCAGGCAGGCGCATGGCCAGGCAGCACAGCAGGTGAGGAGGGAGGGAGACTATGAGGGGAAGGAAGGAGGGCGCAGGGAGGCGGTGAGGGGCAACCGCCAAGGGCCAGAGGAAGTGGTGGCCCTTTCATACTGTGACACAATGAAGGGCCGGGTGCCCAAGCCGCACCGGGATGCAGGTCAGGGTGGTGAACTCATAGCCGGCCGCCTCCGAGCTGGTCCCAGTCAGCTCCGTCAGTAGCGTGGACTTTCCCACTGCACCAGGGAGAGTGGGAGCAGGTGCTGGTCGAATGTTGGAATGATTGGCAGGCATGTGTCGATGCACTTGGTGGGGCAGCAAGGCGGGAGAGCACCCGGTCGTCCCCAGTCGGCACATTGGTGCGCACCTGAGGGGAAGCCGATGAGCGCCACCCGGCCATCGCCGTACTTTTGCACCTCGAAGCCATCGCCGCCGCCGCCAGTCTGTTGAGATGGTTGGGGGGGGAGGGGGGGGGGGGGGGGGGGCAGGGCACAACACGTCATGCTTAAATCGGCATGCCCTGAGCACTGACTGGATGCCAGCCTGCAACCACACATGCCCGCAAACTCTAGCACACCTTTGGCGGCTCCTGTAGCTGCGTGCGTAGCTTGGCTAGCTTGGCTTTCAGTGTGCCTGCAGCAGGGCAGCAGGTTCAGCAGACGTTGGGGATCCAGTGCAGCTTCAGTGGCGATCCCCATTTCTAAACAGTCCGGTCCCAGCCATCTCGTGCCACCACGCTGGCTGACCTAAATGGTACTCTGTCGCCTTGTTCTTCTGAGTCCGAGCCATCTGCAGCGGACAACAGGGAGGGTGAGTGTCAGGGGGGCCACCACGCACACGTGAGGGGCTGCCTCTCCTCCATCTCACCTCGAACTCGATCTCCTTGATCTTCTCTAGGATGCCCATTGTGCTATCGACTGTCTAGGCACGCCGGGGACTCCGGAAGAGACAATCAACGCTGTGCCTGTGCAGTCTCCGCCGCCGCCACAACTGCAGCCGCCGCTCGCCGCCAGCCCGGGCCGCGCACAGCCGAGTGCTGACCGGCGTGTGCAGGGATCGCAAGGGCCTGCTGCTGCGAACGGAGGAATGCTTGTCTGCTGAGTCTACAGCCGTGGAGATGGTGATGCCGGCCAATGTGGGGTGAGGCAGCTGGGCGTCTTCCCAGAGCAGCAAGCGGCTGGTGGAGATATCCAGGAATGCCGGGAGCGCATCAAGCGGGAGCAAATATGCGGAGTACTGCGCGACTGTACCGTGGCCCTCTGGAAAACCCCGCAAAAGGGACCTGGCGGGTCTGGCCGCACTCGCGATCCTCGCCATAAGCGTTTATCACAAGCAGGACCTGGAAATGCGGGGGGCGATGCTTCCTGCCGAGTTTCACCACCACCACGCTGCGGCCAGCAGCTGTGGAGCAACCACTGTGGTGCAGGCAGGCATCCTGCCGCGATCCCAGCAGTTCAGGCGGTGCAGCGACCCGCGCCTGGCAATGTGGCGAGGCAAGCGGCACGGGCAGCGGCAGGGCAGCAGGCACCAGCTAGCTGCCCAGGCGCAGAGCAGCACAGCAGCAGCGGCAGGCCTCCAGCAGCAGTTGCAGGCGCTGGACAAGCTGCTGGTGAGGCCTAGATCCACCTGAGGGTGCAGCGCAAGGGGCTCCTGCAAAAACCGTTGCCAACGCCTGCGCCTCCAACCCAGCGTTTCTTCCACGCCTGCAGTCATCCGAAGGCACTGAGGCAGAGTCCCAAGCCACTAGCCTGGCAGCATCTCTGGCACAAGAGGGCGCGCTGCGGGCGTTTGGCAAGGCGCAGCAGGTGTGCGGGCAGCTGCACTGGGACACCCCGGCCGCCATCTCCAGCCTCACCTGTTTGTCCTCGCGACTTTACCGCCCTCCTCCCATGTGTGCCCCTGCAGACTCCCAAGCGGACCTACACCCTGGCGGAGCTGAGGTTGAACAAGATTCAGCCCGAGGAATTCCTGGCGCCCACCGACAGCACGCTGAGCGGCGTGCGCAACGTGGTGCAGGGCGGCTTCCTGGCGGGCCTCACAGCCGCCTACTTCACCCAGCTGCTGGACCTCACGCAGATTGTGCAGGTGCGCAGCAGCTCCCCGCTGCCATCGTGGTGTCACATGCCACATGGCGTATCGCTGCAGCTCGTGCTAATGCAATGCAACATGTGTGCAATGGTCTGGTGGCCTTTTCCCGCAGGTTGTGGTGGCCACCGGCTTCCTGCTGACTGTTGACCAGGTGGCCAACGGGGGCGGCTTTGAGGCCCTGCTGGTCGACTCTGGTGAGGACCTGCGTGCTGTTCAACCCAGCAGCTTGGAGTTTGCCTGGCCACTGCAGCGGCGGTAAAATTGATGTACATTTCGGATCTCCTCTGCAACCTTCAGCAGGCTCTTGAAACCACCACCCTGCTGCCACACGTGCCCTGCTCTGGAATTGCAGCCGGGCGGGTGGTGAATGGCACATACGGCCGCCGAGTGGCGCTGCATGAAGCCGGCCACTTTCTGGTCGCCTATCTGCTTGGGCTGCTGCCGCGGGGCTACACCCTCAGCTCCCTGGACCTCTTTCTCAAGTGAGCTAGGAGGGCTGGGCAGCAGAGAATGTGCCTGAGCCGCGAGAGCATCAGGTGCCTGGTGCGACTGCAATGAAGAGGCCTGGCCTTGATCACCTTTCCATGCGCCGCCGCGCGCCGCTGTGGCTGCGTGCCTGCAGGAAGCGGCAGCTGAATGTGCAGGCGGGCTGCCAATTCTGCGACTCTGCCTTCCAGGCCGAGGTCGCCACCGGGCGGCTCAGCAGCAGCAGCCTGGACACGTACGCGTGCGTGGCGCTGGCGGGGGTGGCAACGGAGTGGCTGCGGTTTGGGCGGGCCGAGGGAGGCCTGGAGGATGTGAGGCAGCTGGACCGCCTGCTGCAGGCGCTGCGATTCACGCAGGTCTGTGGGCCGGGGAGGTGTGTGTGTGTGTGGCATTTATGAGTGGTAGCATACCCAGCCCCCTTAGCTTTCCCACACCTCCGCGCACCCTTCCTCGCAGGCCAAGGCAGACTCCCAGGTCCGCTGGGCGGTGCTCAACGTCGTGACGCTGCTGCGGCGCCACGAGCGCGTGCACGACGCGTTGGCAGCGGCCATGCAGCGTGGCGGCAGCGTGGGCGAGTGCATCGGCGTGATAGAGGGGGAGCTGGCGGGCTCCCAGGACATCTGAGAGCGCGGGTACAACATCTGTTGCGGCAGTGGGCTGCGCTGTACAGTACTTCCGCTGCGCTTGCAGGCCTCGCTGAGCTATCGCGCTCCCCCACCACCTGCTCATTGTCCAGCTGTGATGTGGCTAGGTTTGAAAGTGTTGGCATATTTACCTCAGAGCATGCCGCAGCGCCAAAGGGGCGCGGTTAGGGAATGGAATAAAGGAAAAAACTCGAATGTGCTCCAAATGTGGCGTGAGCCATGCCCTGCTGCTCATGGGCTGCTCATGCGCTGGTGTCCTTCTGCACCACCACTTTAAAGAAGCCCGTCACCTCTGGGTGCAGCTTGACTGCGGGGAAGGCAGGGGAGGAGGGCACAGCGGGGGGGAGCGCAACAAGCGTGGGTCAGAAGCTGGGGCTGCTCCCTCGGCACCATCATCAACAAGCAACAGCAGCACCTGAACCACCACCACTGCCAGCAGCGCAGCGACCACCACCACGGCAGGCGGGCGTCAGCGGCCACGTCAGCAGCCACGCGGGCGCACCGGAGGCGTCAAAGGTGCCCAGCGTCTTGATCTCGGGCAGCGTCACCGCCTTCTTGTCCAGCTCGCGCCCCGTCTGCATGCGGATCGCCTCCACCAGCTCGCTCGTGGTCACGCTGCCAAAGATGGCCTCCTTCTCCCCCACCTTCTTCTTGATCACAAACTTGCCAATGGTGGCCAGCGCGGTGGCCTGCGGCGGAGGCGGCGGCGGCACAGTGAGCAGTGGGTGAAGCGTCAAAGGCAGGCAGCAGCTGCCAGCATGTGGCACCGGCCCATCATCACCTCCCTAAAGCCCCTGTGGTCTGCCTGCCCCCCCTGCACTTCAGCGCCCGCACCCACCCCTACCGGACTCGCACAACTCTGCCACCCTTCCCTTCCCAGCGACTCACCATGGCCTGCGCCTTGGCCTTCTCCTCCATCCGCACCCGCTCCTCCTCCTCCCGTTGCTTCCGGATCTGGTCCAGAATGTTGGAGTCCGCAAATGCCGCCAGCCCCTGCGGCTTGAGGTAGTTGCGCCAGTAGCCGACGGGCACGTTCTTCAGGGTGCCCTCGCTGCCCAGCCCCGGCACGTCAGCCACAAGGATGACCTGCATCGTCACGACAGAGCGAGCGGCGGCGTGGGTGTGCGGGGTGCACGACCTAGCAACCCGCTGAGCAGCTGTTCAAGGCGGGCGCCTGAACCTGCGCTCCACTTCATTGTGGTGGCAGCTGGCACGGTGCCCAGCGGCGAGCGGGCCCCGCACCTGCTGCTTCTTGGCCACCCGCTTCTGCGCCACCACATGGACGGCCGTGCGGGCTGCTGCTGCGCTGCTGGGTGCCGCCTTGAAGGCCTGCACGCTGCTGCTCTTGCACTGCAGGGCAGAGGGACGCGGGCAAGTGAGGCGACCGTGCAGAGGCGTTCGGGGTGGTGGGCGGTCGGCGGCAGCCCCTGGCAGATGCGCCGCGGTGGGCCCCGGCATGCCAAGCCGGCCCGACACATGCACCAGCTTGCAAGCCGCACGCAAAGGGCAGTGCAAGGCCGCTGCTGCGACTGGGTGAGGCGGGATGCCTTATCTCCGCCAACGAGCGGGGGCCGTCGCATGCAATGATGGACATGCGCACAAGAATTCCCCCGGGGCACTCACGCTGCCGAGGCTGCTGCCCGCGAACGTGCACTGCATGGCTGCTCTGTGTGTCCACCCAAGCCCGCTACTGTTGCACCACCCGATCGGACACGCCAGCAGAGGGCAATGTACCATTCGGGAGGCGGTTTTGTGGTGCGCAGGGCGCGTTGGAAAGGGCGGCCTTGCCATGCATGCCCCAAACGGGCTTGGTGGGCGAGTTTGCGCGACAATAGTGAATCAGGCAGCGCTCTGGTGGCATCCCCTAGCATCCCCGCCTCGCTTGGTCTCGCGCCTCCCATCTCTCGCAGTCGCCCTTGTTGTGCTCTGCCTGCGGGCCAACCTGAACTCGGGAGTTGCGCAGGTAGTTCCAGAGAGCGTCGCTGCGCCGCGTCTGGGTCGCTGGGGGGTGCATCCAGCACCTGCCGCGCACGGTGCCGCTCCCGCCTTCGTCGCGCTGCTCAAACTGCCAAACATCCTGTTTGCTCAGTGCCAAACATCCCTTCTGCTGCTGCTTGTCATTGCAGCGCACTGCATCTCCGAGTGCACACATCCCACCATCATGACAGAGGAGGGCAGCGAGGCGGAGAAGCCGCGGACCCGTGAGGCGGGCGAGACGGCGGCGGCGCTCGACAAGGTGACGGACTTTCGGGAGGAGAAGGAGATGATGACCAATGTGGACAAGGAGCTGGTGCAGCAGGCGATGCAGAAGCTGGCGGCGGAGCAGGCGCAGCGCACCGAGGCGCAGCGGCAGCGCGAGCGCGAGCTGGCGGCGGTCAAGGTGGGCAGGCGGATGCGGGCCCAGTTGTGTGCCTCCGATGCTGTTGCTCTTTCAACGCACATCCCCCTGGAGAGTGAGCTGTTCAGCCAGTGCGATAACCATTTTCGAGCCGCGTGTTGGAAGGCCTGCCCATGGCCGCGCAGGTCCAGAAGGAGGACATTGAGGTCATTGCGCAGCAGTTTGACATGGACAAGAAGAAGGCCGAGCGTGCGTTGAGAGAAAATGGGGGGGAGCTGAAGACGGCGCTGCAGTCGTTGCTCAAAGTTTGATGCCGTGCGTTGGCGCGAGCGCGTCGCTTGTTTGCTGTCATTTTGATGAAGTTCCTGCTGCCCATTCACAGTAGTTTGCTGTCATTTCTGCTGCCCGTTCACCTGTGACCCATGCGGTGCATCGTTGCCCCCCTCCATACCAATGTGCAAGGACAGGGAGGGCCACAGTGTTGAGGGGCGGTAGGCGAGCGGGCAGACACTGGCGGTGGCGGCGGGCTGAGCTCCTGCAAGGCTGGAGCACGTTGTCTCACCTACTAGCATCACTTAAACTTGCTGGTTTCGTTCCTTCAGGTGTGCAGCGTTCGCAGGATCCTCCAGCGCTCCTCCAAGGACAGGCGGGCCGGTTCTCAACTCCTTTCCCCCTGTTGTCTATCTTGCTAGGGACACCTTGTTCTATATCGACCACCGCTTACGCAGCTATGCTCTCGTACTGAGCGAGTCAAGGCGCTGGCCAAAATATGACCGACGCAGGCAGGCTGAGCAGGCCCTGAAGAGCGCCAACGCACCGCGGGCAGCAGGCCGGCAGGCGTGCCGACGGATGAATGGCGGAGACGGCTGGACGGCAAGCGCCGGGCCGACACAGGCGGCCCCGCCCGCCATTCCGCTCGTCTATCTGCTGGAGGCGCGTTGGTGGGGCGGCACCAGCACAGCCTTCACCCTACCCATCACAGAGCCGCCCTTGGTCTGCATGTTGGAGGTTGGCTGGTGGGGCAGCAGCAGTGGCGAAGGTGGCAGCAGCGCGAGTGCCGCTGAGCCGAGAACCACTCTGCCGCCGGGCCTTTCGAGTGGCACAGGATGGCTGAGCTGGCTGTTCTTGGGTCGAGGCAGTGGATGGCTCAGCTGGCTGTTCCTTGGCGGCAGGGGCAAGATTCCCGACGCCAATTCAGCCACCGAGGGGCGAGGCAGCCGGCCGCGGCCGCCAGCCAAGCATGGGCCATCTGCGCGTGCACGCACAACCAGCAGGATAGACGGAGCAGCCGCCAGGTTGCCGCGGCACCCCTCCCTAACCAAGCTGCAGCCGCTCCACGGCAGCAGCAGCGCCGGCACTGCCCAACAGCCTGCGGCACCACAGAGCGAGGTAGCTGTGCCTGGCGCCAAGCCCAGCCGCTTCCAGGAGCGGCGGCAGGCATGGCGGCAGCGGTGAGCGTAGCTACCCTTATGCTGGGGCTTTATTTGTGTGGCCGCCTTTTGGTGTTAATGTTAAGTAGAAACTGCTGCATACTTTGTTTCATCGTTGTGTGTGTGTGCCCCTCTTTTCTGCCCGCCTGCAGGATTGAGGCAATCAAAGCCAAGCAGGCCAGCAGGGCCGCCGCAGGAGGCTCATCAGATGGCGCTGCGGCAGCAGCTGGAGGCACCCGTGTGTACAGCAAGCACATTGCCATCCCCATCCCCATTGGAGGCAGGGCGGGAGGCAGCGCAGGGGCCACGCCACAGGGCTCCCCGGCACGGCGAGAGCCCCTTCTGGATGCCATCGCCGCCTCGCTGCCGCAGCTGGAGGCGCCGCCTGTGTGGCAGGGGTTCCAGGTGCGGGCAGGCTGGCCGGTGGGCTGCCCGTTTGAGTGCTCATTGCTGGGCAGGCCTGCCCAGCTGCAGCTGCGAGCTACCAGGTTTCTTGCCAGCTGAAGACCCGCCCGTGGCCCTCTTTGACTGATAATTGCAGACATCTGAGGCTCCTGCCGACATGGCGGCCGCCACCGACGAGCAGCTGCAGCGCTTCCTGCACCAGGCGGGCTGGGCGCAAGAGGCAGTGTGGAGCCTGGCGGACCGCGAGGCACTTGTGCTGGCTGCCCGTGTCTCCAGGTCCGCAGTCTCATGAGCTTTGCTGTCGCCTGAAGGGCTGGGTCGAATCCGTCCTCTTCAGCTTGTGCATCGTGCCCCTCTCCCAGCTGCAACACCCTCCCTTGCCGTGCTATCTTTTCTGGCTGCCTGCAGGGGCGCGTGGGAGGTGGAGCGCGTGATCGTGGCCTGCGTTTGGCCCGAGGAGGTGTTACGCGTGCCGCGCAAGTGCGGCGACCCGTCGGCGCTGCGGGCGGCGTACCGCCGGGTCAGCATGGCGGTACACCCCGACAAGTGCGGCGCAGCGGGGGCCTCGGATGCAATGAGCATCGTGGCGGATTGTGTGAGTGGTGGGGCAGGAGTTGGTGCTGGTGCTCGCCCTCCAGATCTGCTTGTTTTGAAGAAAGGCCGCCATCCATCCATAGCTGCAGGCCTGATTGTTTGCTAGCAGTTCAGCAAGCTTGATCTTGTACCAATGCCTCCTGCTCCTGTATTTGATTCTGGCTGCAGTATGCCATGCTCGTGCATGCGGCCAGCGGCGGCAAGGCCGCCGCGGCGGTGCCCGCCTACCTGCGGCAGCACCACCCCACGCTCGCCATGCACACCAGCAGCAGCACCACTAGCCTGGTGGGCAGTGCAGGTGCTGGGAATGGCACACTGGGCGGCGTGCAGGCGGCAGGGGAGCAGCCGTCCCATGTGCAGGGCTGGCCATCGTCTCTGCCGCGGGCGCCGCCAGCCTGGCACGGCATGCAAGCCAGCACCGAGGCAGCCACTGTCACTGTGGATGCTGGCGGTGCCGCCTCCTGGGCGCCTGGCTCCTCGCCGCAGCCGCAGCCCGAGCAGCCGCAGCCCGTGCGGCGCACCAGCAGCTTTGGGGCCAGGACGCCGGCGCGGCGTCACAGCAGCAGCAGCCACGAGCACTGGCATCCTCCCAGCCGCATGTATTCGGAGGATGACCTGCAGGCTGCTGAAGCAAGCGGCTGCAGCCCTGGGGAGGGACGAGCCACAGCCTGCTGCGGAGGCCATGTGGAGCCGGAGCCGGAGTAGCAGCAGCAGCAGCCTGGCGGCCGCAGCGGCGGATGCCACGGCTGGCGCGTCCTCGCAGAGTCCAGGGTTGCAGCCGCCTTCCCGCCGTGCCAGCAGCGTCTCGCTTGGCAGCAGCATGGGAGCCTCGCCTGGGCCCTGGCACGCGGCAGGGGTGGCTGAGGGAGCCGGCTTGCCATGGCGGGGCAGCAGCGGCAGCCTGCCCAGCTATGCTGGCTTTTCGACGGGTGCCGTGACCTCTAGGCCCGCGAGCGCAGTGAACAAGATCCGGGTGAAGTTAAGAGTGCGCAAGGAAGCATGACCGCAGCGGCGATGGGCAGCTGGTGTGCCAGTGCTGCCATGGGTCGGCGCACATCCCACTGTCCTGTGTGACTGCCGCTGTCTGTGTATACTGTGCCTGTATTGAAATCCAAGGTATCGGTCCTGCAATTTGCCTGTTGTACACCTGCCTCTGATCTGGAGTTACCCCATGGGCGCGACGCGGGCGTCACCCTAACTGCGCCCTTATTGTTGGCCTGCCGCACACTCAATTTTCCCTCACTGCTGTACTTTTGAGCGCCATGACATGTAACATGCGTTTTGACAGAGTAGTTTGGGTGCGCTGGGTTCATTTCTGAGCAAAACAGACCTGACCAGCTTGCAGGCATGCCAGGCAGCCATGGCGGCGCCCACGCCAGCAAAGCACCTTGGAGGTCGGCAGCGCAGAGCGTCCTCCCTGACACCAACAGCACTCCACAGCTTCACTCTCGCGACTAGAGGTCTGCAGGTCCCCTGGGGTGCTGTTGGGCCGAGGGCCAGACGTTGGGGCGGCGGGGGATGGAGCTGAAGACGGAGGAGCTGGATCGGCTTGTGGTGGCCCACCTGTCGCACAATGCCAAGGTACGCTGGTGCTGGGGTCATGGGCCGGCGATCAGTCTGTCCTGCCATGCTCTTATGGGTGTCCTAGGCGCCGCTGGATTGCCTTGGTGACGCACGCTAATGCGCCGCCTGCAGGGGCGCAAGGAGCAGGAGGCGCTGCGCGGCCTGCTGCTTGGCGGCGACTTTCGAGCGGCGGCACAGCGCCTGCACGAGGTGTGCCCGGCCCTGGCGGAGAACCAGTGGCTGATATTCCAGCTCAAGAAGCATCAATTCATACACCTGGCCTCGCTAGCAGCTGCCCCGGTGGATGCCGGCGGCGAGGAGCAGGCGCAAGCACAGGGCCACTTGCAGGAGGCTCTCGGTGGGTGCTTGCGAGCAAGTGCCTTGGACGTGCGGGGCTTGCTGCGCTCTTTCCAACAGGGCAGGAAGCTTGACTGCAGCATGCTGCTGCCGCCGTGTTGCGCCACTTCCCTGAGCACAGCCTGCACCGTTCGACCGCCCCTGCTTGTCCTGCAGAGCTGGCGCGGCGCGAGCTGGCACCGCTGGCGCTGCACGCCTATTGCGAGGCCTACTCAGACTTCAAGGCCTGCATGCTCGCCCTGGTTTCTGGCAGCAGTGCAAACAGCGGCGCCGGTGGCAGCAGCGGCGGCGGCGGTGACCGCAGCGCCGAGCTTGCAGAGTTTGCTGGGATGGTGGTGCGTGCGGTGCGGGAGGAGGTAGGGTGCGGAGGCACGCAGCTGGCGCAGCTGGCGCGCTACCTGCTGCTGCTGCACCAGCACCAGCACCACACGGGCTTCCATCCCTTTTGGTGGCCTAACTTCAGTGCACAGACGCAGCGGCTGTGCGGCCAGCTGCTGCTGCCGCAGCGTGACGCGCTGCCGCCTGCTGCGCTGGAGCCGGCAGACGGCGGGCGCAGGCTGCCGGCAGGCGGCGTGAGGGAGCATGATGTGCAGGCGCTGCGGACGAGCCTAGGGTGTGACAGGGAGGAGGCGGTGGCTCTGCTCAGGTGATGCCCGGGCTGCTGCTGCTGCCGTATGGCTCCTGCGCAGACCTTTGCTCTGTGTTTGGCGCTCTGAGAGCGGCAGCCCCCTCGTTCTCGTGTAATGCCGGCTCTCTTTTCTGTCAACTGGCGGCGGAATGGAGGTTGTGCATTCCGAGGGCTCCAAGAATCAACTGCGGTTGTGCCCGCCTGGCAACACGCTCTTGGCAGGGCGGGCACAATTCACACCTTTTTCGGCCTTGCAGCAGTTTTGACCCTGTGTCGGTTTGATTGGGCACTTGTGCAGGCGGCGCACATAGATGAGGGCCTCTTGGCTGAGCTGGCGGATGAGTATGCCACCTGGCGAGGCCTGGAAGCGCCGTCATCGCAGGACCAGCAGCAGAAGACGGGCAGCGACAGCGCGGGGCAGGCTAGTGGGGCAGAGAGCATGCATGTGGATGGGGCCTCGCCGCCGCCGCAGCAGGTGCAGCAGGAGGAGTTCAAGGAGCAGCAGCCGCGGCCCAGCAAGCTGGCGCGGAAGGGGCCAGCGGAAGGAGGAAGCGTGCTGGCGGCAGCGGCAGTAGAAGAGCGGCTGGAGCTGCCTGCTGAGCTGTCGGAGCAGCAGCTGCGTGCGGTGACGCAGCAGCTGGAGCGCTTGCTGGCTGGCGGGCAGGCAGACCAGGTGAGGAATGCTTCATGCAAGTTGTTCAGCTGGGCATGGCGGGCATGTGCTGGTGCATGGTGGCTGAGACGCGGCTCGGCGCGGTGCGCACTTTGCAGGCTCTGGAGCAGCTGCAGGCTGCCGACGCAGCGTTCCTGCCAGACCACCCCACCGTAGCCTTTGCCCTGCACCACTGCCGCTTCCTGCACCAGCTGGCGGCGGCGCCTGCCTCGGGGGGCGGTACCGCTGCAGCGCTGGCCATTGTGCGGCAGCAGCTGTCGCCGCTGGCGCAGCAGCACCCCGAGCTGCTCCAGACGCAGCTCAAGGCTGCGCTGGCGCTGCTGCTGCCGCTGCCCGCAGCGGGCGGCGGAGGCGGCGGCGACGGCGCGGCGGCACTGCAGCAACAGCAGCAGCAGGGCGTGACGGATGCTGTGACGGCAAGTGGGGCTGCCACCTGCTGGTGTTCGCACAGCACCAAATGCATGCCTGTTCTTCCGCGCTCCTTTGTTGCCCAGACACGCCCTTGGCATCCCTTCTGCAGGCAGTGCGGACTGCCCTGCGCCCCCGCTGCCACATACGCGAGCCTCGCCTGCTGGCCCTGCTGCAAAACTTGATGAGGTTGGGTCGAGTGGGCCCACAGCTGGCCGTTCCGGGCCTTGTCTGTGCATGGACTTTGCTTGCATCGCCCCCTCGTGCCTGACATGCCTGCTGACGTGCTCTTGCAGCCTCCACACCGCGCACTTCAAGCTCCAGCGCTGCCAGGACAGATTTGCAGCTGACCTTGGCATCCCAGCCCTCAAGGCCGGCTCCGGCACGGCAGCCCCTGCTCCCGCACCAACCGGCGGCGCAGCAGCTGCGGCGGCCATGGCTGTCGAGGCGCAGCAGGCGCTGGCGGCCGCCGCGGCCGGCGCTGCACAGCAGCAGTGGGGTGCTGAGGTGCCCGTGCCAAGAGTGCGGGGGCTTGGCAGCGATTCAGGTGAGGCGGCCTGCTGCTGTGCTACTGTTGCAGCAGCGGTCATTTGTGGATGTTTCGGTGCTTGCCCGCCATGCACCACCCGCCATGCACCACCAGAGGGAGGCTGACCTGGGCTCCCCACCGCCCATTGCCTGCAGGCGAAGACGAGGAGATGGGGGAGGGCGGGAGCGAGGAGGAGGAGCAGGGCATTGATGTGCTGGAGCAGTCCATCATCACCGTCTGCGAGTTCACAGGCCTGCCCCGCCACACCGCCATCGAGCTGCTGCTGGCGCATGGCGGCGACGCGGCGTCCGTGCTTGCCCATGTGTTCCCCTGATCATGTCAAGCCTAGTGTGGTCCAGCCAGCTCTGGCTGGCTCCTGGCTGGCTGGTTGCTGGCCTGCCATCTCTGGTTATCGCGGCGCCGTTGCGCCCTCCTCTGTACCACTGCTTGCGCTGTCAGTTTCCCTGCTGTGCGTCAGTGCCTCTCAGTTTCCCGCTTCTCGGTTTCATGATGTCAACTGGTGATGAGTACACAACAACATACAAATGAGTAGGACCCGATAGATGTGTGTAGTGCAAACTGCGTACAAGCGCCCAGCACGCCACCGCATGGCGTCAGTCGGTGCTGGCCTGGGCTGGCCAGCTGTCATTTGGGTTGGCCCGGGGTGTGAAGCTGCGTGGTCCACACCAGGTCCGCATCCGACTCCACATACACCTCATCCTCCGCGATAAGGTTGCTGGTGCTAACCAGCCCGCCAAAGCGCATCTCCATGTCTGCTAGGTTCCATCGCAGGCCCCTGCGCCAGGCGGCGGGGGAGAAGGAGAGGGCCAGATCAGCCAGAGAGTGAGTCACGGCTCAGCAGCCAATAACAGGTGGACAGAGACAATGGCTGCCCTCGACTCGCTCACCTGCTGCTAGCTACCGCGGGCCCTGCACATGGCACTAGCCCGCACGAGGGCCCCTCCAGCCGCCGGTCCGGCCGGATGATGCAGCGCCCCGCTGGCGCCAGCCGGGCCAGGTTGCCGTCACCCAGAAGCACGAGACTGAGGTCACGGTGGGCGTGCAGCGTGCTAAGGCTGGACAGCGAGTGGTCCAGCCGCCCTCCCAGCGCTCCTGCACGGCACAGCACAGCTCAGGCATGGCTCAGACGGGGACCAACGGAAGGCTGGAACATGCGTCGCAAGCAATGGAGGCCCATGCAGCGGTGCAGCAGCCCCTCACCCAGCGCCACGAGTGTCAGATGCCGCAGCTCCAGCCGCCGCTCCTCTGCCTGCTGCCGCACAAACTGAATGCACTTCTGAAGGTCGGTGCTGTCCTGGTCGGCTGCGCAGGGTGCGGCAGCAGCGGGCGTGGGCAGAGGGCGGCAGGCAGGCTCCATCTGGCAATCACAGCGCAGCACCCGAGCAGCGCAGCCTGTCGGTGCCTTGGCAACCAGATGCACCCGCCATGTGCCATGCGAGGTGCAGTTGTCAGCCCACCCGACAGGTCCTGCACCGGCACCCCGTGCTGGCGGTAGAAGGCCAGAACGTCGGGACGGATGCTGTCTAGGTCGCCCTGGATGGCGCTAGGCAGGTACTGCGACCGTACTGCCTCTGCCGCCTGCCCCGGCAGCATGCCCGGCAGCTCATCATAAAGCCGGTTGGCGCCACCGTCGGCGCACACGCGCAGCGTGGCTGCAGCAGGGGAGGAGGTACGTGTGCAGGTGTTTGGTGGGCGAGCATGGCATGTCTGCATGTGTGCATGTGCAGGCAGGGGTTGTGTGAGGTGCCAGCTGCAGGATGCACGGCCCAGAGCCACCCCACCCTTGTGCCACAGGCGCGGCGTCAGCGCCGGCAGGGTCCAGTTGAGCAGCACCACCGCCAGCTGCTGCTCCGAGGGGCATGCTGCTTCTCCCAGGAAGCTGCTGCACAGTATTCGGGGCTCCATGCGAGCTGCTGCTGTGGAGGGCACCGCAGTGCAAATCGCCGCCGCCGCCACCGCCGCTGCTGGGACTGCCGCCTGCACTGCCACAGTGTTGGCCCAACCCGATCGCTTCCTGGGCGCACTGGATTTACTATGGAAAGGCCGCAAGGGCGAGCAGGGGCAGAGAGAGTGCAGCAGACGGGCTAGCGGCCGCTCTGAGCAAACAAACATGCAGCCCTAGGCTCCTCAGTCTGTGGCGGGGAACGGATTATTCTGTCAATTGCTCTGCGATTGTCAACTGCGATCAAACTGCTGCTGCCAACCAGGCAAGAAATGCAGGAGCTGGAAAAGCGCGGCACTCCGGCTGCAGTGCAGTGCTCAGCTAGCTATTGACGCCCCATTCACGCAAGTCACTCGCTGCTGGGACGAACCGGCGAGGGCTGGGCGCTACGACCTATGGCTCGGGGCCTACAGGCTGCAGCAGTGGCTGCTGTTCTGCTGGCCGCGGTCTGGCTGATGCCCGCCGCGCAGCTAAGCGCGGCGCAGGAGGTGAGAGCGCCCGCACCTGCCACCACCCGCCGCCCGCCTCCCGCCCGCTGAACGCCGCCTTGTGACCCTCTGCTGCAGACTGCTCCCACCGCCCCAAGCGGCGTGCTCCTCTCCTTCTGCGTCAGCTGATCCTTCAAAGGCGCTGCGTTGCAAGTGCAACAAGCGCTGAAGAACCACTTTGGGCAGTCGCTGCCCGTCACCCTAGTCAACCACCCGCCGCCGCCCACCCAGGCGCTGCTGGCCCAGCTGGTGCTCCTGACGCAGTTTGTGCTGGCGGCCGTGGTGCTGTCAGGGCCGCAGGCCGCGCCGTACCTGGCTCGTATAGGCATCGTGCTTCCGCCCGAGACCTGGCAGGCTGTGCAGGAGAAGAAGGTCGGCATCCTCATGGGAGCCTGGTTCATCGGTGCGCACCTGCCGCTGCCCGCTGCCACTGCTGCAGCGGCGCTAGTGCAGCTTACGCAGCTTGCTGCTGGCAGGGAAGCCTTCACGGGCCGGCCGCGCCGGCCAGATGAGCTCGCCTTGGGAGCTTCCATGCCTCCTGCTGTTGAACTCCTGCCAAGCGCCCGCCCATGCTACACTCCTCGCTGCAGGCAACACGGTCCGCCAAAACCTGCTGGGGACGGGCGCCTTTGAAGTCTCCTACGATGGCACCCCGATCTTCTCCAAGCTAGACACAGGGCGCATGCCTACTCTGCCCGAGCTGGTCGCCGGCATCGCCGAGGCAATGGCGGCTGCCGGCAACCCCGCAGGCAGTGGCACCGAGCAGTAGCGGCAGCCAGCCAGTAGCAGATTTAGACATAGAGCAAGGGAGCGCGCCCCCTGCCAGCCTGCACCTGCTGCCTATGACGGCGGAGCCAGCAAAGCGCCCACCAGGCGTCCGGCCCACCCGAACCCGCTCGCAGCCAGCAGGCAGCGGGGCGCGCTCGCATGCACACACAATGCGTGCTAGGGTAGTTCTCACTCAACTGCAGTATTCCTTCCCTCGCCACTTTTGCTGCAACAGCAGCGAGGACGCCCATCGCCACGGGCCTGCCAGCCCAGTGCCCCACACGCCTGCCTTCTTTTATTGATCCTCTAAATTAATGCTTGTCTGCGTGTACGCCTCACATCATGTAAGCAATGCATGGGCCTTTGCCTGGCTTGCCAGGCATCAGGGAGGTCCTCGTCCATGCAGCGCCTGCCCGCCTGGACCGCCAGGTTGGCGGCGGCCTGCCGCTTAGCCAGGAGCGGGGTGGCTTGCCCCGGCACCCCTCTCATCCCGTTCTTGGTGCAACACTCAATTGGTAGCTAGCAGCTGAGCAGCAACCACTCTCGCTACCGCCTCTGTTGCGTCCAGGCGCCATGTTTGCTCCTGCAACGCGCCAGTTGCATTCCAAGTAATCGCCGCACCCCATGCGCCGCTAATGCCACATCTCCTGACGGAGCCCTGCTGCCGCCACCGCTGAGCGCTGCCGCCGCCGCCAGCGCCCGACTGCAGAAGTAAGCGCTACTCTGTGTCATCAGTGCAGGCCGTATGTGCCTGCGTAGCAGCCAGCGCAGCCACGGCTGGTAGGCAGCCCAGCTCATCCGGAGGCGCTGGCCAGTGTAGCAGGAGCTGTCCGCCATGAACTTTGACCCACGGCCTGCCGCCGTGAGCTCCTTTCTGGCCGTGTGGTGCTGGTTATGGCGCCAGGGTTCTGGTACACCTTAAGGGTCAGTAAAACCTCGAGCGTTTGCGGCATGCTTCGCCCGTTGCCGCCTTGAGCTCTACGCATCCCTATACCCAGTGCAGGGCGTTGTGGAAACGGCCACTCGCCGCAAGCTTTCCATAATCAGTTTTAACCTTCTGTTACCGGCCTTCAATTTCTTCAACTTGGCCCAGAACATAGACGTGTCCACTGTAACCAGCTACCTGCCCTTTGCGGCCAACAGCGTTCTCAGGTGACATCCATGCAGATTGTGTGTGTGTGTGTGTGTGTGTGTCACCCATTCTCCTGCCCATCCCGTTTTCCCTCCCCATCCCGCGCTTCCGTTCCCCGCCTGCCTGTCTGGCTGCTGCAGCAACGTGCTAGGCATGTTGATGGGGTGGGGTTCTAACTGGCTTGTCCGCACACCTCTGCCACTACGGTACCATGTAGTGGCAGCTTCCGGGTTTGGCAACCTGAACAGCTTGCCGCTGCTCATCGTCTTTGCCGTTTGCAAGCATGATGACTTGCCTTTCTACCAAGGTGAACAACGCCACCATGCTGGGCTGTGCATTCATCTGTGCACCGGGGATCACCGGGCTGCGCCCTGCGTCTGCCATCTGGCCTGGGACTGACCACCCCTGCCATGTTGCAGTGCTTGGAGACCAGTGCACCAGCATGGGCTTTGGATACATCGCGATCGGCACTGCGGCCACGCAGATGTTCACATGTGAGCAGCTTGCCAAGGCAGGGGGCAGGCTGCGGCACCAGGGACAGCATGCGCCTGCTGTCCCCATCACTCGCTGGGAGGAGCGGCACTGGTGTGCCGATAGATCGCTCCATTGTCGATCCCCAAATGCTGCAGATCCCATTGCCATCTGGCTGCTCAAGAAGCGCGCCCTTTTTGTGCAGCAGATCAGCAACCTGTCCGAGGTTGTGATCATGGCTGCCCTCCAGCGGAATAGCCCTGGGCTTGTCGCAGGAAGCCCTCCGCCCGCCACCCTTGTTGTGGCTGACACAACGGCCAGCCCACCTGACCTCACGTAAGGACATGCCAGTGGACGGGATGCGTGTTGGATGCTGCTTGCGCCGGCATTGACAACCTGCTGTACTTATACTGAGCAATGGCATGCTTGTTTTGCTGCACCAGCAGGCAGGACATGGATGGTACTGCGTTGGCGCATGCAGTTGGCACATCCGGCCAAGGAGGTCCCCTGTTGGTTCCAGGGCAGGCGTTAGATGCAGCCATGGCGGCAGGAGGGCAGCCTGCCGGCAACAGCGCTGCAGCAGGCGGCGCAGCAGCCATTCAGGCGCATCCCGATGTGCGGTCCTTTGCGCTTGACTTCAGCGCCGACAGCAGCAGCGATGGCGGCGCCGATGATCGCAGCGAGCGCAGTAGCAAAATCAGCAGCAGCAGTAGACGCAGTGGCGGCGGCGCCGGTGCTGACCATGCCAGATCAGATGCCCCTGCTCTTAGAGTGAAGGGGAGCAGCACCAGCAGCATGCCCATGGTGCTTCAGGTCCCTAGCCGCAGCAGCACACGAGCTGCCAGCTTCAGCAGCGCCGCAGGCAGCCCTGATAGACTGCCTGGCAGCCAGATGAATGGAGAAGGGTTGGGAGCTGGCACCGAGTCGCGCGCAGCAGCGCCGCTTGTCGTAGAGGTTGTGATGGCTGGTGGTGTGCAGGAGGGGCAGCCTGGAGCGCAGGAGCAGCTCGACGAGCGGCCCGCGCCCCGGCCGCCATCCCGAGCGCGGCGGTACCTGCGGCTGGTGTGGCTGTTCACTCGGGAGAACGTGCTGCGCATGCCGTGCATCGGCGCGGGGCTGGGGTTCATCGTGGGAGTGATCACGCCCATCAAGGACCTGCTGTTCCCCATCGAGGTGGGGACCCGGCTACCTGGCCCCCGGCCCTGCTGACCTGCAGTACCATGCCTGCTGGTCCTGCAGGCATTGGGAATGCACGTATCAAGGGCCCAGGCCTCACAACCGTCAAAGCTCCTTGGCGCCCATACACGTCCCCTGCTGCCCGCCGTGCCCCTGCCTGCAGTCTGCCACCCTGGGCTTCCTCATGGGGGCGCTGTTCAGCATCCAAGCCGCCCTCATCTTCGTTTCCTCCTTTGTGCTGGGCTCTGTGCTGTCCAAGGTGGGTTGGGGCTCCCTATGCGGCATTTGAGAGCCAGGTGACCGGCGGGGCGCACTGCTGGGCATTTCCACACTGCGCCTGATTAGCACCAGCAATGGCTGCTGAGTGACTGGCATGTGGCATCTGGGAGTGTCTGCCTGCTCAACGTGGCTGCCTGCCCTGGCATGCTGTGCAGGGCCCGGGCTCGGGCACGCGCGCGCTGGGATGGCGGCCGCTCCTGCTGGTCGTCCTCATCCGGATGGCGGTGCTGCCGCTCATCGGCGCTGTGGTGGTGGTGGGCTTCGTGAAGCTGGGCTGGTACAAGCCCCTAGATCCCGTCTATGCCTTCATCCTGCTGCAGCAGGTGAGCTGAGCAGGCTGCCGGACTGCGCCGGGCTGCGGCTGCCGCACAGGATTCTGTGCTGACGTGAGCACCGCCGCATGCCCAGCCACACCACCCTGCTCCAGCTGCATTGCGGCACCGGCCTGCCTGCAGTTCTGCGTGCCGACGGCCAACCAGATGCAGAACATAGCCAGCATGTCGGGCAACCGGGAGCGAGAGGTGTGCTGGAGTGGGTGGCTGGGTGGTGGTTGGCTAGAATGGGGCCACCACCCTTGAGTGTTTCTCTTTTGTTTTCTTTTGTTCTTCCACCACCTGCCGCTTACTGCAGATGGGCGCTCTGATATTCTGGCAATACGTCTGCGCATTTGTGGCCATCCCATGCTGGTGAGCCCCTTCCCCCAGCCACACTTGTCGCTGATGCTGCATTCCAGGCCCAACTCTTGCAAACAGCGTTCCTGGCAGCGAGCCTGTCACGCTGGCCCTGCACCCACGTGCCACCGCTGCGCTGCGTACTGCTGATGCCTCGCGTTCTGCCTGCTTGCAGGATGGTGGCCTACCTGTGGTGCATGGACCACTTCTTCCTGTACCCGGGCGCCTGATGCAGCAGGACCAATCCCTTGCTGCCAACGAGGAGCCCTCGGCTGGCGATGGCTACAACGTGTGTACAACTCTTTAATGCTAGCACTGCCTGACTGCTTCCGATGATTTTTTGGTTTCTTGCCAGGCTGCTCATTTTTTGTTATGATACGGTCAGCTGCTCATGGCCAGCTCCTGGACTGTGATCGCTGCTGCCTGCCCTCGCCCAGCAATGGTGTAAGTTAAAATGTTACGAAAGAACAACAGAATGGGAAGCGCGGCCCCTACGGGTTACAGTACACGCAATTCAGGGCTAGTGTACACATGCGCCCGCTGGAAAGGCTATTCTATCTTGCCAAGGCAACGGAAGGCAAAGCACGGCGTGGCAATGCAAGGCACACCCGGGTGGGGATACAGGCATTGAAGCCGGTGCACTCGAGAGTTTGCTGATTGAGTGGCAGGCAGTGCGCAGAGGCGCCGGCGTGCAAAGGCACAAAAATAGGAGAAGCAAGGCAGCTTCCAAGTGTTGGGAGGGAGGGCATGGGTTGTAATGAAACAGAGACGACTTGGTGCGGCAGGCCAGACAAGCTCTGGGGACCGAAGGCACTCAGTCTGCTGTAATTGGCGCTTCACTTGGGGATAGGGCGCAGCACAGAAGGGGCGGGTGATGAGCGCTCGCTAGTGCTTGCTCTGCTACATCTACCGCCAATACGTCCTGTACACGTGTTCCTGGGCGAGGCTGAGCCGAATACGTTGACCAAGGGTGGCGGCTGCCCCTCTATTGAGGGATGCAGGGGCAGGCAACGCTGCTGCCGCCTCACGCCTCTGGGCGGCGCTGGCTGTGCAGCCACTGCTGCGCCGCCAGCAGCACCTCGGGCGCGTGGCGAGCCAACACCTCGCGCTTCAGGTCCACCCGAGCGTCGGGGTAGGGCAGCATCTGGCGCTGGGCCGTGGTGGAGCTGTCCGCAGGCGCTGGGCGCCTGGACACAGGGAGCAAAGGCGCAGGAGGGCATGGGGCACTGCCCAACAGGCACTTATTTCCTACTCATCACATGTCCAGGCCAGGTGCACGGCAGGCCTGTGGGCACCAAAGGCAAGTACGGCAGGTGACAAAGCTCACCTGCGGCGGCCGGTGGAGGGGCCCGCGTCGCCGAGGTGCTTAGCACTCAGCCCCGCCGGCTCGTGGTCCTCGATGCGCAGCGGGGTGGAGGCGTGGGTGAGCAGCGGGAAGAGGCGGTACCAGGCCTCGGTAGACATCATGTCGTGGTGCTGCTGCTGCTGCTCAGAGCGGAGGCGAACTTCGTACTGGCCGTGCAGCGGGTCGGGGTAGTGCCTGCGGGCAGACAAGGAGCAGGAGCGGCGGAGGCACTGGGGTGGTTGTTAGCACCGGTGGTGGCGGAGTCGCTCGAATGAGCGAGCAGAAAGGGCCTGCTCGCCTCGCCAGTATCGGCAGCAACGGGCGTGATCAGGAGGGGTACAGGGGAAGAGCGAGGGTTCCATGGCCTGGACACACTGGCTAGGTAGCAGGGCGGCTGTGCCGGCAAAAAGCGCTGGCGTGGGGGGATCCAAGGAGGAGTTCCCAGGGGCCGGCGGTCTGGTCTCGGAGGCTGCCAGGAGGCCCCAGGGCATGTTTCAATGAGCGCAGGCGGCCCCAAGCCGCACCTTTTCCCCGTTCCGGGCCCTTCCGGGTCTGCGGGGGGCTTGGGCAGCGCGAAAGCCGCCACCCGCAACGTCCGAGACGGCGGTCGACTGCCCCTAGCGGCAGGCGGCCTGCTGAGGTGCACCCGTGAGGGCAGGAGCGACGCCACCATGGCGCGTTGTCTGTTGGGCAAGTGGAAGCAGGTGAGAGGTGCGAGGACAAGCGGGCTGGTGAGTGGATCACAATGAGAGTGAAACATTCGCGCAGGCGCTGCGTTTGGCAGCTTCATCTCCCTGCTACGTGCTGTGCATCAGGGCGCCACGCCACTTTGGACACCTTTGCGCACCTCCAACACCCGGCACGCCTCGTTATTACTGCGGATTGCGTTGCATTGTCCAGTGTACCCGGTCCTGGCGCAGTCGTAGTTTTGGCCTGAACTCTACTCCCTGCTCGTTGGATGGCTCTCCCTGCGCTGAGGCATGTGAAGAGTGGGCATGGAGTTAGCCCATGCGGCACCCAGCGGCCACTGGCGGCCGGGCAGCGGCGGCAGGGCCTCGCCCCAGCCAGCGGCACTCCGCACGCGTGCGGCACAGTCGGCGGCGCAGCGCGCCCACGCCCTCGCAGCAGGGCCGTGGCCCAGGCCACCGAGGTGTCGGCTGCGGCAGAACAGGCGCAGGCGGGGCAGCGCAGGTGCGTTCCCGGGAGTGCCTTCCCTCGGTGCTCGCTTTCTGGCTGGCAATCCCACAGCCGCCCTCCCTTGCACAAACCAGCACCGCACCACCACCCCTACCCACTCCCCGCAGCGTGGAGCTTGCCAGCGCGGACATGAAGGCGACAGTGACGCTGGCACGGCTGCGGGCGGGCCCCGGCTATGCCATCGTCATCGCCTCTGTGGCGCCCGGGTCGGAGGCGGCCTCCGCGGGGGTGCGCCCGGGCCAGCAGCTGCTGCAGGTGTCCGACCCCATCCGCCCCAACGAGGTGTGGCAGCTGAACGAGAGCTCCAGCCTGCGGCACGTGCGCCAGGCGGTGCGCATGCGCGTGCCTGACACCATCACCCTGCTGCTCAGCCGGGAGCCCATCCCGGAGTGGGCGCAGCACGTGGTGGCGGCGAGGGCTGCGGCGGCCGCCGAGCGCGAGCAGACCCAGGACCCCGGGCGCCAGCAGCAGCAGCAGCAGGGCGAGGCCGCCGCTGCCGGCGACTCTTCGGCGGAGGCCGCCGACGATTTGCTGTCCGCCATCGTCCAGGCCGCCTCCTCGGGCGAAAGCATGGACAGCGGCGACGAGGGCGGCGCGTCGGCGGGCGGCCGCGGCGGCTTGACGGTTGCCGAGAAGCTGGAGGCGCAGTACCGGCAGCAGCAGGAGGCGGAGGGCGGCGCCCCAGAGGCGGCGCAGGCGTGGCAGGCGCTGACCGCGCTCGAGAAGCGGCAGAAGCGGCGCAAGGAGTATTTTGAGCAGGTGGGCCTCGACTTGGCAGGTCGGGAGAGGCCGCCCTGCAAGCCTCCTCTCGCCCGCAGCACCCGCTGCTGTCCTGGCTGCCAGCGCCTGTCAAAACCCCACCTTGCCCTGCCCCACCCCTGCAGGCAAGCGAGCGCAACGACGGGCCCTTCTTTGCCGGCGTGGCCGCGCTCTTTGTGCTGCCCCCAGCGATCATCCTGCTCGCCGCCTCTGCCAGCGGCTACCTCGACAGCCTGGACATGTATGGCGCCATGCGCTGAGGCCTGCAGCCCTCAGGCCAAGCCAGAGCTGCAGAGGCGTAGCGCCGCCTTTGGTCCCGCGTTTCTGTTCCTGTTGCTGAGTGGGATGTGCATTCTGTTTACCATTTCCCACCACCTTGACCCCCTCCGTTTTCTGCTGCCATCCATCCATCCATCCAACCACACTGTGGCAGCCGTCCAGCTACCTATCCCCTTCTGAGCCGCCGTCAGATTGCCAGGGGCCTGCCTCCTGTCCTGTACCATCACTGTGCTCCGCTGCCTCTGCTGCTGTTTTGATCCCTCTGAGATTTCCCAACCCTGAGTCGAGAAGCCGTTGACACTGCAAGTCCCCCTGAAATGCGTTTGCTGTCCCGAGTACTTTCATCCTCCTTTGCTTTCCCAGATCCCACTCTTTATCTGATGTGATGCTCCCAGCCAACTACTTGCCAGCTGTAAGCCCTTTTCTTACAGGTGCCTACTATCACCAGCGCGGTGTTCGGCACAGCGCCGCCACCTGGGGTCCCACGTCTGGTGGCGCTGCTCCTGGCAAGGTGCCGAGCGCTGCCAACAATGCGTCACAGAGGGCGATGCCCCTCTGCAAAATGCGTTTATGAAGAAGGCGCCACTTCACAACAACCTGCATCCTCTCCAAGTGCTGGGGGCTCACAGCAGCGCCATCCTGCGCTTGCGCCAGCCCGTCACGAGCCGCGTCCTGCTGCCCTGCGCTCCCGAGCTGCTCCTGCTGCAGCTGCTGCTGCTGCTGCTGCTGCGCTTCAGGCTGCTGCTCAGCGGCAGGGAGACCTGGTGCAGCTGCTTGCAGCGCTGCCAGCTGCTCTTCGTCTTGCTCGATGCTGGTGGGCAGTGCAGCTAGGGCGGCCCCGCATGCTTTCCTCAGCACTACAAAGGCCGCCCGCTCGCTGCTGGCGCTGATGGGTTGGTCGGCCAGGGCCAGGTGGGCGCGGGTCTTGCGCTCCGCTGACGTGGCGCAGCCCATGCGCAGCGCACGCAGCAGCTCCCAGGAAGGCGCCCCGCTGGCGTGCAGGTATGCCGCAGCCTCTGCCGCCCGCTCCATGCCGCCGTTGCTGCTGCCACCGCCGTTTGCTGCCAGCTGCCGCTGCACCGCGGCAGGCAGCAGCTGCGGCGCCAGCGGGGCAGTGTCGTGCGGGTTAGAAGCCAGCACAAAGCCGTAGTGTTCCAGCAGCCCCAGGTTTGTATGCCGGCCGTAGCAGAGGAACACTTGGTCGCCCGCAGCGTAGCTGTATGGGAGGAACAAGGCAAGGGAGCAGGGTCACCGAGCAGGACAGGGTTGTGGGGTGGGGTTTGGGCGGACAGGATCAGCATGGCGCAGCAGGGGCATGCGAGCGCTGTCCGATGTGCCACAGGTGGGGCCGAGAGCGCTGTCGCACTACCGCAGGGCAGGCCGCTGCCCCACCAAACCCCTCTGCCACCCACTCCCACACCACGCAATGCGTTGCAGCGAGGCTCACGCTGCGCGGGCGGTGATGCAGTATTCATCGGCCGATTCATCCAGGTGCCCATCTCCTGCCACACACTCCTCGCCACGTGCCACCGCCGCTGCCGCGCTGTGCGCCTCTGCGTCGCGTACGCCAGGGCTGGCTGCAGCTGGTGGTGGTGGTGGCTCCCCTGCAGCCGCCCTTGCTGCTGCTTGCCCTGCTATCGCGTCTGGTCCTGCCGCCAGCGCGCCGGCCGCGGCGAGAAGCTGGGGCGATGTGGGTATGTAGGGCGGCGGCGGCGGTCGGTAGTTGTGTAGGTCTCCAAAGGGGGCCAGTGCCCCTGCTGAGTCAGAGGGCAGGTACATGGTTCGGCTGGAAAGCGTGGAGGCAGCCCACAGCCAGGCGCCGCGCCCCCGCCACTTGGCCGCCAGCCCCAGCGCACGCAGCAGCGGCAGCGCGCCGGTGTGGTGCTCCGCGGCGGCAGCAGCTGCGGCTGCTGCTGCCATCACTGCGTGCGGCGCCTGCAGCGCTGCTGCCTCGTCTGCTGTCAGGCACATGGCGGTTGTGTAGCGGGGCGGCAAGCTGCGCAGGTAAGGTTGCCAGAAGGAGGCCGCTCCCTTGGACGCTTCACACAGCAAGTGCACCGCCAGCACCTGCACCAGATAGAGGCGGTCGGTGTTCAACAGCCGGCCAGGACATCAGGCCAGAAGGTCGACACAACACTAGTGTACACTGCACCTGGTCTGAAGTCAGTGCCGCTCTGTGCTGCCGCAGTGCGGTGCACAGCTCTGCATCCCGCCTCGCGCTCTCCACACTCATCAGCAGGTGGCGTGGCACGCGCAGCACGCAGGTGCCTGGAGGCGCGGACAAGGCAGGGCTGGGCAGCACGCTTGCCGCCAGGCGGCGGCTTTGCAAGTCGGCAGGTGGCTGCGGCGGTGGCGGGAGACCTCCGCACCGGCAGGAATGTCCTGGGTTGCCAGCACCCCTCTCCAGCCTTCAGGGACGAAACCGGCCTCGATGCCGGTCCAGACCACGCCACCAGTGCGGCACCATTCGAGCAGCTCCCTGGGCGCCGCATCTGGTGCCGACATGATGATGGGCATGGGCACAGTTATACGATAACTGGATGCAATTGATGCATCGACAGGTGACCTGGAGCTGATGTGGCGCCCAAGCGCCTCCAGCTCTGCGCTGCATCGTCAGGGTGCTGCTGCACCGTCAGCCTCTTAAGCTTCCTTCAGCTCACAGATTCGAGGATGCAGACCCATCTCATGCCGCTGCTGGTAAAGACTCTCTCCTCTCTAGGGTCCGCCCGCCTTCCTGGCCGCCAGGCGACATTATAAGCGCATTACTGAGTGCTAGCAGGTAACTGATCAAATGTACAGAGTTCAAAAGCGCACAAATGTGCAGAGCGTTGGCATGCCGTGCGGGTCTGAGGGCAGCAGCCAGGTAACGGACATACAAGCAGACACAGGGCCAGATGATGCTCGAGCTGAGCTGAACATGGGATGGCACACAGAGCTTGGGCAGTAACAAAACATCAAACCGCAGTTTGGAGGAAGAGGGTTTAGGGGGTTGTGTGGGGGTTCTCATGTTGCTTGTTGCTTCAGCCCCGCAGCCGGCCAGCCACGGCGGCCACGGTGGTCAGCAGCGCAAAGGTCGCGGTGAGCGGCGCGCCCACCGTGGACAGCAGCAGGCGGTCGCGCTCGATCTGGCGCTTCACATCGGCGTAGGGAGCGCAGCCCTCGTTCATGAGCTGCAGCGAGCCGGGGCGCACGTAGCCGCGCGTGGCCTTGCTGAGCATGCCCCGCCCCACCATGCTGGCGCCGCTGAGCAGCGCAGCGGGGTGGAGGCGGCCCCAGGCTGAGGTGCCGCGCCGGGCGGCGGCGTTGGCATCCAGCCACAGCAGCGCCTGGGCGTCGGACAGGCAAGCCTTGGTGAAGGCCTCTGGCAACGAGGCCAGGTCGCCGCCGCTCTCCTTGAGCAGCTGCGGCGGCAGCAGACAGGGGCAGGCAGGGGCGCGTGAGTTGCAGTGTGCATGGAGCGATGCAGCGCACCGCTGGCAGATGAGCAGGCTACATGCTGGGAACAGTCAGCATGCGCAGGGAGGAGGCAAAGGTAAAGGTAAAGGTGGGGAAGAGCCTCCACAGGCTTAACTTCCCGGTTTTAACGTCTAGCTTTAGACCATTATTTGATCTGCCTGACGCGCCAAGTGCAGTACCCCCCACTCGTAGTGAATGGGTCCCGGGGAGGCCTGTGCCGAAGCCTTGGCGATTCTATTAGGCGTTCCCGAAGGAATTGGCTTGGATTGGCGCTGAGCCGGAGGCAGTGAGCAAAGATGCTGACCTGGGAGATGAGCCAGGCATCCTCCAGGGCCGCATTCATGCCGTTGCCGGTGCGGGGAGTGACGCCGTGCCCGGCATCCCCCACCAGCAGCAGCGAGGGGCCGTGCAGCTGTGAGGCGTGCACCCGCATGCCCGACACAGCCAGTGGCCGCTGCTCCAGCTGGGCGGCCAACTGAGGCAAGGCAGCGGGAGGGGAGCGGGCAGGGTAGTCAGACGACAGAGGACCGGGGGTGCGGGTGCAGCGGCACAGCAATGGACCCGCCAATGCTGGCAAGCCCGTCCTGCAGCAGTTGCCGACACGGGCAACCTCTGCTGTCACCCCAGCAGCACGCAGCGCGGCTCACCGGTGCCCTCCACGCTGCTGGCAGCGAGGGGAACTGCTGGGAGATGAGGCACTCGAAGTCCGCCGCGCACTCCAGCCCGTTCCAGGCATGCTCATCCATGGAGAGGACGCCGCGGCAGGCGCCGCTGGCGGGGTCTGCCAGCACAAAGGCGACGGCGGCGTGGCGGAAGCCGCCCGCGCCCGAAGCCGCCAGTGCGCGCATCTGGTTGGTGGCAAAGCCGTCTGCGGCAGGCAGGCCCTCAAACACCTTGTAGCGAGCCGTCGCCTGCTCCATGCTGCTGCGCAGCTGCGGGGCCTGCCTCTCCGCGGCGCGCCGCAAGCGGCTCCACCCGCCGTCGGCAGCCACCAGCAGGTCGTAGCGCTGTTCGGTGACGCCGCCGCGCGGGACATGGCCGCGCGGGCTGCTGCTGCCGCTGCCGCCATGCCCCTTCTCGGAGCAGAACAGCGCGGTTTTGCGCTCCAGATCCAGGCTTTCGAACGAGGTTTCGAAATGCCAAGAAATGTTGAGTCCCATTCCCTCCACCTGCGCCACCATCGAGCGGCAGAAGGCATGGCGGCTGCCCACCAGGCGCGGCTCGGGGAAGCTCGTGCTCCACGTGTCCAGCGTGCTGCCCGCGCCAAAGGCCATGGACTGCACCGGCTGCAGGTCGGCCCCTCCGAAGGCGGAGACATCAAAGCCGGCCTCGCTCAGCGCCCGCCGCCCTCTCGGGTGCAGCATGACGACAAACGCCCGGTGCTTGTCGGAGGAGTCTGCCACCAGCGGGGAGGGGTGCCTCTCGTACACGTGCACGTCCAGGCCGGCACGGGCCAGGCCCACCGCCGTCAGGATGCCAGCGGGGCCGGCGCCGACCACGACGGCCACGGGCGGCGACGGAGCGGCCGCAGTCTCTGGTGTGCCCGCCGCGGCATTTTCGTTTCCAGGGCGATCAATCATGGTGCGCCACAAGAATGTCCGAGAGCGGGTAGGGAGGGTTTGGGGGTTGCCGGCGAGGGTTTTGAGGGCTGTTGTAAGGCCGTTCGGAAAACGAGCCCTGGAGGCGGCTTGTGGTGGATGGAATGCAATTGAGCACGCATGGATCGCATTGTGCAGGTTTTAAGCAGGGCCGCCTGGGGCCGCGGCCCCACCAGATGGCGCAGCGGGGGAGCCATGGTAGCTAGCCTGCAGATGCCACACCACCTGCTGGCCCGCCGGGAGCAAATAAACACAGAAATATCCCGCGTGGCTGTGGCGGGCAACCCGCTTTGGTGGCGGCAGCGGCGGCGGCAGAAGCGCCCTGCTCAGCAGGCCTTCTAGTTGTTTTGCTTCTAGTTGTTTTGTTCACTGAGTTTGTTGCAAGCATTCAATCGGATTTGGAACCAAGCCAGCCTGTGGTGGCCGTAGCCACCACAGCCCCACCCTGCTGCCGGCACGCAACCGCCCCTGCCGCCGACCCCGGCGGTTGGGGCCGAGCGAGGCAAAATGGCGAGCGCGCCGCAATGCGGCCTGGGATCTGTGAGGCCAGCTGGTGATAGACCCCGGCATCATCATGAAGTTGGGCATCATTGTGGGCTGGCAGAGCAGGGCTGCCAAGCACAGTGAGCTAGTTTCACAGATAGATATTTGGCAAGCGCAATATCGTGCGCGAGCGGCGGCAGGCATGCACCGAATGGCGGGAGGGATCGGCCGCTCGGCTGGCCTGGCGGCCTCCCCTGGGCCTGCAACCCTCAGGCACAAGAGCCCCCTGTGCACAACCACGCCCAACTTCTCGAATCGGGGGAGCCCATCTGGTGGGAATCTCCCAGGCAGCAGCCCTTAGCGCTTCTCCGCCCCCACCGGCCGTGCCTGGGCTGCCCCAGCGCGTTGGGATTGCCCGATCCACCGCTGCCGGCGCCGGCAGGGCCCACGTGCAACTCCCGCCAAACCGCGTCAGGACTCGAATTCAGCGCTTATCTTAAGGCTCCGATCCCGCCCCCGGCTGGTGAACGTGCTGCCACCCCCGGGCCTGCTGCTACCGCCTGGGGTTGGAGCATCCATCTGCGCAGCTGAACGACCGTTGCGCCCATCCACCCCGCGCCGCGGCACCCCAGCCGCCTGCAAACATGAGCCTGAAGAAGCAGACGGCCGGAATCTGGCCCCTGGCGCTGTGGTCGTTGGCCGCCACCGCCATGCTGCTCTTCGCCGTCTCCGGCAGCGGCGGCCTAGGGTCGGTGCAGCGCCGCATGCTTCTGGCCCGCCCGCTGGCCACCGGCGACCTGACGGGCCTGGCGGTGCTGGACCACCTTGTGAGCGGCCGGGTGGGCGGCGCGTCGGCAAACCTGCTGGCGGCAAACACCACGGCTTACAAGCGCGCCAACGAGCGGTGCCGGGCGCCCACGCCCGATTCGCCGCCGCTGCCCAAACTGAAGCGCGCGGGCGCCTGGGACGGCGGCAAGCCAGCTGTCTCCGGCAATGCCACAGCCATCGTCACGCTCCACATTGACAGGTGAGGCGGCGGCCGTGAGAAACACGTCTGTCGGGGCCGGCGCCCAAATCTGGCGCTGCTAGGGCAGTCGCTGTCCGCCCTACACAGGCGCCAGAGAGCTGGGGGTCAGACTTGAAAGCCTGCTCCTTCTCACCATCTGCATCCCCGCAGCATGCTGTTGGGCGCATATGCACGCCGTCCCTTGCATCCCTCCTGCCTTCGAGCACATCTTTTGACTAACAGTGCCCGCCACCCCGGCCCCCCACCCCCCACCCCTCGACAGGCTGCCGCTGCTCCAGGCCCACTGCGCCGTGTGGCCCCACACCGTCATGGCTGTCGTGTACGCCCCGATCTCCTCCGCCCGCCGCTTCACCTGCGTGGACGAGGTGGCCACGCCCGACCAGCTGCGGCGAGGCAGCTCGTGGCTGGCAATGCTGGGGCTGGGCGGCGGGCGCTGCCAGTACAGCGGCTGGTCGCTGGAGCGCCTGCGGGCGCGCGTGCGCGACATGCAGAAGCGCGCAGAGGAGACAGGTGGGTGGGTGCGGCGGCCTCGGCTGCGGCGCGGAGGGGACCCGCTGACGGGGTGGGGTGGCGCTGGCTGGTGTGCGGGGAATAGGGCTGCGCATGTGTGTCGTGTACATGGCATGGGCTGTGCACGCTGCTCCTTCGCAGCTGGCCTCACGCCTGCGTGGCCTTGCTCCCGGTTGGCCCCACCCGGCTTCCTGCAGGCGTGTGCAACCTCCAGGCCGAGCTGTGGACCGAGGAGATGACAGAGCAGCTGGGCGCGGGCGCGGGCCTCATCCCGCAGGCGGCCCTGCAGAACAAGGCGCTCCTGGCGCTGCAGCAGCAGGAGGTGGGCGCGGGCATGGGCCCTGCGCGCACCGAGCCTGCCTGCTCTGCCTCTGTGGCACCTGCAGCACGCACAAGCAGGAAGTGTGCTCACGCCCTGTTCACACAGAGTTCATCACGCCTGCCCTGCCTGCCTGCCTGCCTGCCTGCCTGCCTGCAGCAGGACCTGGACAAGCGGCACGCTGTGGTGCTGCTTGACTCTGACATTGCGGCGGTGGACGTGTGGCAGCTGCTCAACTCGAGCTCGCGCTGGGAGCGCGCGGCGCGCGAGATGGGCGGCGGCGGCGCCCTCGTGCTGCCCGCCTTCCAGCTGTCGCCGCCGCGCTACGTGCACGAGGGCGCGGGCGGCGGCGCCGCCACGCTGCGCGGCCGCTCCCTGGAATCGGCGGTGAAGAATGCGATGACGATAGTGACGGCAGGTGGGCCTGGGGTGGCCGGCGTGGCAGCTCGCTGCCGGGCGCCGCGCTGTGCAGCACGGCATGGCTGCGCCTGCCGCGCCCGATGCCGACACGTGGCAGCCCGTCCTCCCTCCCTCACCCGCATGCCGTGCCTGCTTCCCTCCGGCCGCCGCCGCAGACGCCGGCAAGTTCCCTCTGCGGAAAAAGTTTGTGGATGGCAAGGTCCGGGTCTTTAGTGACCGTGGCTTCAGCAGCAGCCAGGATGCGGCGCTGCCGTTGCTGTGGTTTGAGGCGGGTGCGTCCAAACGGCGGCGGAAAACATCCGGTAGGGGGGCCTGCCTGCACTGCCTTGCACTGCGCACAGTGTTCCTTGCACCGTGCGCACCCGCCGCCGCACACGCCGCCGCCACCCCCGTGGCGGCAGGCGGGGAGAGGTAGGCTGTTGGGTGGGCGCACGTGCCTAGGAGGCAGCGCAGGAGGAGGTGGCGCCCCAGCAGCCGGCCAGCGGCACAACCCCGGCGGCTGCCGGGGGCGGCTGGCCCAGCGGGCGCAGCGCTGACGTGGCGTGCTTCCCTGGAGCGCAGGTGACATGCACGGCGATGATGACGATGGCTACCCCATCGTGCCGCAGCCCGGCTTTGCGCCCTTCACAATGATGCGGCGGCAGCATGTGCCCTGGGGCGACGAGCGGCTCCGGTGCGGGGCAGCTGCTCTGGCTGGCTGGCTTGGGGCGTGTGCCGCGGGCGCTGCAGGAAGATTTGCACGTGCTGATTTGGTTGGCTGCATGCTTGCCTGCTGCCCACCTGCAGGGGCAGCTACTACCACCGCGCATGGCAGGCATTGGTGGCGCGCTACATGGGCGTGCGGCACATTGTGCAGCCCAACACGTTCACGCTGCAGCTGCCGCACACCCAGGCGTTCAGCATGGGCGAGGCTTCGCTCACCAACTTCCTGGCGGTGAGCAGGGCAGCCGTGGGCATGGGAGGAGCTGCTGAGCTGGCAGGGCCAGACCAGGCAGCAGCGACTTTTGTGTGTCAGCGCGACTTCCGACCCATGCATTGTGATCCGCCTGCTGCTGCAGATGGAGCCCGTGTTCCGTCAGCTAGTGGAGGAGATGGGGATGGGGGTGTATGTGCCCATCACCAGCTTTGGGGACGACTGCCAACTCAACCTGCCGTATGCAGAGGTGTACTGAGGCAGGCATGCCCGCCCCCGTCCCTCTCGCTTCGGCGACTTGCGGCTTGAAGCTGCCTCAGTACTCCCTCTGATTTCAGGCATGTGATTTGGTGTGCCCGTTGCGACATGTGTTTGTGTTTGACCCTTTCATTTTCGTTCCTCAAGACCCCGTTTTGCGCACTTGTAATAGCACTGCTAACCGCCGCCGCCACGTCCTGCCGCCGTACTGCTGTTGCCTCGGCCGCCAGAATACATGGCCACGGGAGGGTGCTTCTCCGAAGTCCACGAGCGCAAAGTTAGGGCTGAAGGGCACCATGGTCAAGGTGCTATTCGCTGGCGATGTTGGGGGCAAGGTCGAGGCCCTGTTCAAGCGAGTGGCAGCTGTCAATTCTTCCAATGGACCATTTGACATGCTGCTGTGCACCGGAGGGTTCTTTGCGGGCTCTGGTGAGGCTCTGCCGCTGCCCACCGCAGCCAGTCGGCACGCTAAGTGAACAGGGCAAGCGGCGGCTGCGATCCGCAAAGAGATCCACCACGCTGCGTGGGACGCGGCCGTGACAAGCGGTGCCGCCGCCGCCGCCCGCCTCCCGCCGCCGCTGCCGGCCCCCGAGGCGCAACACCAAACCACTGCTTGGCTGCTGCCTGAGCAGGCCCTGACGATGACGAGTACAGCGGGGAGTTGCTGCCATACATCACGGGGGAGAAGAAGGCGCCAGTGCCCACCTACTTTGTAGGCGGCTGGGGCCACGGCAGCAAGCAGGCGCTCGAGGCGCTGCCAGGTGCGTGCCCCTGCTCCGGGCCCCTTGCCTTTGTTCAGCACCAGCCCACCCCCAGGGCTGCTGATGCCGCATGGCGGTCCCCACAGCCGTTCCCGGCCGCCACAGCGGGTGCCGTGCCCGCCACGCCCGCCGCGCTGCACCCGATCGGTCGCGGCGCGCCCTTGCCGCCCCTCTCGCCCGCCTGCAGCCTCTGAGGGCAATGTGAAGTACCTGGGGCGCAGCGGCGTGGTCACCGTGGGCGGGCTGTTGGTGGCCTTCTTGGACGGCCAGTACAATGCAGCTGCCTTTAGGACACAGGAGCCCACCGGCACCAGCAGCGTCGGCCCCGGCTGCCGATACTACGCAGAGAGCGGTGCGCCCAGGTGGCCCGCAGGCATGCCCTGCATGCACCCTGGCTGTACTGACAGACAGTACCAAACCAGCAGTCGGGGTGCCCTTGGCTCGCTGCCAGGCAGGACCGCAAGGCGTGCGCTCTACAGCTAAGCTACAGCTCCTGTCTCTTGCCCTGCCCTGCCCTGTGGCGACCGCAGATGTGGACCGGCTGAAGCTGGGCCTGGCCAAGGCAGAGGGTGACATCGATGTGCTGCTGACATGCGAGTGGCCGGCAGGGCTGTGCGATGGGCTGCCCGATACCGCCAAGCCGCAGGGCGTGCCGTTGGATGGTGCGTGGCAGGGCTGCAAGCCTGCAGAGGGCGGGGAGGACGGTTTCAGGAAAGGGGGCGTCACCGGCGGCAGCTGTGCTTGTGCAAGGCAGGCGGCACGCCTGCCTGCGGCTGTGCCCTCGTTCTGCTGGTCTTGAGAGCGCAGCCTGCCTGGTTGGTTGGGTTGCCATCGGCTCACACGGCATGTGGCTTGGCGCTGCTGTGCAGGGGCTGCCATGTGTGCGGAGGTGGCCCTGGCGTGCCGGCCGCGGTACCATGTGGCAGCAGGCAAGCGCGCATTTTTTGCCCGCGCGCCTTACTTGAATTCCGACCTGGGTGCGGGAGGGCACGCGACGCGCTTCATTGGGCTGGCAGAGGTGCGTGCTATGGCGGATTGGCCGGGCTGGAGTGCTTGGGTGTGGCAGAATGTGGGTGGGTGGAGCAGGTCGGCCCGCTTGCCTTGGTCCTGCTTGGGAAGCTGGCTCCCTAACAGGCCTGGGGCCCTGCTCATGTGGAGATGGGCGTGTGCTGGCCTGCGCTGGGCTGCGCAGGTGGGCAACACCAGCAAGCAGAAGTGGCTGCATGCGCTGGCACTGACGCCTGCCGCAGAGATGACGCCAGAGCAGGTGTGCTGGGCGGCGGCCTGGTGGCGCACAGGCGAACGAATGCTGTTGCGCATGATGGCATGTTGCTGGCCGTCCCTCGCTGCCATCTGCGGTCCTCAGTCGGGTTGCTGCCTGCTCACTCCCTCCCTGCGCCTGCCACCCCTGCAGCTGACGGCGGTGCCAGAGGGTACGACCAAGTGCCCTTACGAGGTGGCCAGTAGAAAGCGCGGGGCGGATGCCATGGACGATGAGCAGCTTGGGGCGCAGGACTGGCGGTGGCAGCAGCGCGGCGGCAAGCGGCAGCAGGGGGGGCAGCAGCAGCGGCTGCCCGTCGCGGCGCCGAGCTTAGGTGGGCGAGGCGGCGGGGTGGGGCTGACACGCAACCCCATTGCTGTCTGGTGTTGCTGGCTGGTGTTTGTCCGCATGAGGATGCAGCTCCCTGAGCCTCTGCCTTCTGATTTTGGACCTCCAACTGCACTCGCCCCTTGATTCTATGTTTCATCTGCTGCCTGCAGGGCGGCAAGATGTTGTGAAGGACAAGAGCAAGACGGCCTTTGTGCGCAATGTGCCCTTCAGGCATGCCCCAGCCGCTGCGCAGCTGGCCTGCCTGCCTGCCTGTCCTTTTTTGTGCCCATGCTTCTTACCTGCCTGCCTGCCCGCCCGTCTGCCTGCCTGCCTGCTATCAACGTGTCTGTCCTGTGCCGCCGACTGCAGGGCCACCGAAGACGACCTGGTGGAGTTCTTCAGCCAGTGCGGCACGGTGGTGGACCTGGTGCGGCGCACCAACAAGGAGGGTGGGTGGCCCCACCTCGCATGTCGCCGCCACTGCTGCCACAGGTCGCGGCAGCATTTTGGGACTGTATGGTTGTCACAGCAGTAATTGCGGTCTCTGGTCTTGGTTGGGGAGTGCCAGCAACCAGCTCAGCCCGCTCCACACTCTGTTGGTTTGGCTGGCCTAGGGTGCCACTTTGTTGTTTTCGCCGCTGTGTTGACCTGGTCCTGCCAGCCTGCCCCGCCGCCTGCCTGCCGCCGCAGGCAAGCTCAACGCCTTCTGCCACATCCAGTTTGACAGCGTGGAAGCCATGGAGCGGGCGTGCCAGGTCACCGGCTCACGTGAGACGGCGGCAGCGCTCGCGCCGCCACCTGTCCGGCTGCCTTGTGCCCGCGAGCCTGCCCGTGCGCTGGCCACGGCCCGCCCACCCTGCCTGCCTCACAACGCGCCGGCTGGGCCCGACACCACGCCATGCGTCACCGCCGCCTGCGTTGCCTGCACGCAGAGCTGATGGGCCGCACGCTATACATAGATGCCGCCACCAGCGGCGCTGAAGCCAAGGCGCGCGCCGCGAAGCCCGTGGAGGGGTGCTGGTTCTGCCTGAGCAACCCCAATGCCGACGTTGAGCTGGTTGCGTCCGTGGGTGCGCGCCCCGCCGCAGCATGCGCGCCTGCACGGCTGGCTGCGCTCTGCCGCTGCTACAGGCGGCTTGCCTGGTGTTCTCGCCCTCTGGCCTTCTCTTGCCAGTTCTTCTTTTGACCCCAGGCATTCTCCTCTATATCTCTCTCCTCTCCCATACCCAATGCGCTGCCCTTCCATCGTTTTGCCTTACTAGTTGCCCCCTGTCCTTCCCCTCCCACCACGCACTGCGCAGGCGAGGAGTGCTACGTGGCTCTTGACAAGGGGGCCATCACCGACCAACACGTGCTCATCCTGCCTGTGGAGCACTTTGCCAGCTCGCAGGCAGCCCCCAGCAGCGCCACCGAGGAAATGCAGCGGTGCGGGGGCTGCCCAACTCCCAGTGATTAAGGCCTGCCCTTGCTGCTGGGCCTGCTTGCACTGCCAGTGCCGGTTTCACGGCCACCTGCCGTTGCGCTGACGGCCAAAGAGGGAGGCTGTGTCCCTGCAGGTACGTGTCGGCGCTGCGCAGCTGCTTTGCGGCTTCCGGCAAGGAGCTGGTGGGATTCGAGCGGTACATGGCCCTGCGCAAGAGCGGCGGCAACCACTGCCACTTCAACGCCATTGCAGTTCCATGTGCGCCCGTGTGGCCCCATTTTCCAGCTGTGTGGCGGCACCAGCCAGCTGCACCGAGCTGCCACCTTCGCCGCCGGTGTTCATTTGATGAAGGTCATGCAACTGGCTACCATCCAGAACGCAATTTGTGACATGCCCTGCGCGGCACTGCTGCCCTGCCCTCCCTTGCGTGCAGCCGCTGCTGCCAAGCAGGCGCAGGAGGCGTTTGAGCGGGGCGCGGCGCGGCACGGCTTCGAGCTGCAGCACCTGCCAAAGGTGGCGGGCGATGCGGCGGCACGGGAGCAGCTGAAGGCCGCAGGTGGGGTGAGGGCCGCTGGGGACGGGAGGCGGTGGTGGTGGTTGGGGGAAAGGATGCATGATTTACTTTGTTTTTGTTGTGTGTGTGTGCCCGCTGGGGCAATGAGAGCTTGTGACCCCACCTGTCCGGCATGCCCCACCCAGCATGCTGCCCGCCGTTCCCGCTGCCCTGCCTGCCGCCCGCCTGCAGTCGGGGAGGGCGAGTACTTTGTTGCGGTGCTGCCCGACGGCAGCCGCCTGGTGCACCCCATCGCCTACGGCGAGCGCTTCCCGCTCAACTATGGTCGGGAGGTGCTGGCTGAGCTGGCGGGCGTGCCCCAAAGGTGGGCACTCAGCAGGGATGCATTGGTTGGTGGGACGCTGACCTCGCCACCGCTCAGCCCTCAGCTCCGGATTCAAGGTCCTCCTCCCAGCGTGCCGGCCTGTGCCGCGTGGCCCTAACCTGGTGCTGCCTTGCCCTGCCTGCCCTGGCGCGGTGCAGGGCGGACTGGAAGGCGTGTGCGGCCAGCAAGGCAGAGGAGGAGGCGCGGACGGAGCGGTTCAAGGCTGCCTTCCGTGCGTACGACATCATGCAGTAGACAGCCGGGGCGGCCGCACGCTGCACTGTTGGTGGGCAGCACCGGCGGCGGCACCGGCGGCGGCACCGGCGGCGGCGGCGGCAAGTCGGCGGGGCAGCGGTAGCTGGAGCGCACATTCATGCCGCTTGTGCTGGGACCACTGTAATGCGGTTCTGCGAGAGAGCCTGGGGGCCGACACGCTTCGTAACTGATGCCACTGGGCTTTGACCGGCGTGGTGCCGCCAGGTAGGCGGCGCAAACATGGGTCTGGGCCATTCGACGGCCCATAGGTCGGCTGCTGTTTGATCGCAAGTCTGCTGCGGTTTCTCAGCTTGGGGCCAGCACGGGAAGTGGGAGAGCGTCAGGTGATTGAACGCCATCTGCGCCCGCAACACCGACAGCCCACTCTGCCCGCTGTTCAACCTGCTTTCGGCAAACCCATTCCCTCCTTCTTGCATTTTAAAAAGCCCTGAACCCTGCCTGCGCGTAACCGCTGCACGCGGCCCCCAGCTAACAAGCTGCAGGTGGGTGGTCAAGCTCGCCCATTGCCTCGTATCACCCCCGCAGATGACGAGCTGCTGAGGAGACAGAGCAAGATGCGTGTGCACACCCTGCTGCTGCTGTGCCTCGCGGCGGCGGCGGCGGCTCCTGCGTCCGCCGCCAAGAAGTGCGGCGTGCGCAACCGCAACAAGCCGTGTGCCGACCGGCGCGCCTGCTGCAACAAGAAGGTGCGTGCCCATCCGTGACCTCGCAGCAGTGCTGCTGGTCCTCAACAGCAGTTCCCACCATGCGCCGCCGTCCGCCGCTCGCAGGGCTACTGCGGCAAGAGCGCACCATACTGCGCTGCCATCAACTGCGTGAGCGGCCCTTGCCAGACCTGGGAGGACGCAATCCAGAGTGAGCTTGTGCGATGCAGTCAGCAGCATGGCAGTGGCGGCAGCCTTTCGGCGCGCAGTTCCGCCCTTCAGGGCGGTGCCACCCGCCGTTCCCGGTATCCCCGCCTCAAGCCTGCTGATCTCATGCATGCCCGACCCCATGCAGAGTTGATCTGCGGCGTTTTGAATGGAGGCAAGCCCTGCCAGGAGGCCAACAAGTGCTGCAGCACCAGTGTGAGTGCTTGGATGGCATGCTCTGCCATCAGGCGGGTGGTTGGCGCCGCCTTCCTGGCCCTCCCTTTCAGCATGCTGCTCTGACAGGTGCTGCTCTGACGGGTGCCTTGCTCGTGCGTTGCCCCTCGCTGACTGCAGGGCACCTGCGGCACATCCTCTGCCTACTGCGGAGTCGGCAAATGCGTCAGCGGACCATGTCAGGGAGGCAAGCCAAAGCCGAAGCCGCCGCCACCAAGCCCCAGGCCGCCAAAGAAGCCCAAGCCGCCGCCGCCAAGCCCTAGGCCGCCAAAGAAGCCCAGGCCGCCTCCTAGCCCCAAGCCGCCTCGCCGCAGCCGGCCCCCGCCACCCTCCCAAATCATCAAGCCCGTCTCCCTCTCTCCTCCGCCGCCGTCGCCACTCCCGCCTCAATCCCCCTCGCCGCCACCTCCCTCCCCCGTTCTCCCACAACCATCGCCCCCTCCACCGCCTCCATCACCCTCTCCCCCTTCACCATTCCACTCACCCCCGCCCTCTCCTTCGCCTCCCTCTCCCCTGGCCGTCTTTCCTGGGGACCTGGGCAACGCCACCACCCAGTACAGCTGGCTGTGGGGCCGTGATGGCGAGCTGTGGACGCCCACAGGGCGCCTCCCCGACTGGAGCTACGCAGGATACATGGGTGAGGAGCTGGCAGGCTGTGTGTGTGTAGGTTGGCAACTGTGGTGAGATGCACGGTGGCAGGTTGGGTGGCGCATGGCATGCCTGCTCCCTTAGCTTCCACGCCGTGCCGAGTCTCAGTGCTCCTACCTGCTGGGTGGCAGCGGTCGTGCAGCATGCTGCTACCTGACCCTGCCTGTGCTGGACACTGTGCTCTGCCTGCCTGCCTGCCTGCCTGCAGCCAACGAGCGGCCCATCCCCTCCTACCCGGTCCAGTTCAATGTGCTGGCGTATGGTGCCAAGGGAGATGGCGTGGCAGGCAAGGGGGATGCACGGCCCGCAACCGCCTGCCATTGCCACATGCCACCGACGCGGGCTCAGCCAGCAGCCATGGCATCTCTTGTGCCTGCTACCTTGCCGGGGGCTGCTGGGCTGGCTCCTCACCCTTCCGGCTCCCCCCCTGCAGATGACACAAAGGCTGTGCTGGCTGCGCTCAAGGCTGCGTCGGCGGCCGCCGCCCGCTTGGGCGTCCCAAAGGTGGGTTGGCTGGTGTTGGGAGTGCACTGCCGGCCTGCCCAGCTCGCGATGAGTTTGTGCACTGTTTCCTGCTTGCTTCCATTCTGGCAAACCCAGCCCCCGGTGCTGCTTGCGCTGACCCCTATCGAGCGCCGCTGCGCTGCAGACCGGCATGGGCAACGAGGGGCAGGCAGGGGTGGCGGTGCTGCTGCCAGCCGGGCGGTACCGCATCACTCAGTTCATCGAGCTCACACAGAGCAATGTGGCGGTCCGCGGCGAAGGGGTGAGCCTGCGTGCTGCTGCCGCCAACATCGCTGCCAACACCGCACTGGCCAGGTCCATTCTCCATGCTTGCTTCCCAGACCCTGCCTTCGGGCCTACCAGCGGCTGGTGGGATGGGCCATCTCGCCTGAACCCTCTTGCTTGCCCCGCCCTGCTCTGCCGCAGGTGGACAAGACGGTGCTCTACTTCCCCCGTGCGTTGCAGCACGTCTATGGCAACCTGATGGCTTGGAGCTACATGGGCGGCTTCCTCACGTGCGCCGGGCAGCGGTCTTGCATGGGGAGCAGCACCTCTGTCAAGCAGCCCACCAGCACAGCAGCCTTGATGCGATGGGCTGGCCTTGACGCGTGGCGCTGCGTATGCTCTCCACCTGGCCCGTCTAACTGCAGGTGCCGCGGCCGGCGGTACGACAGCGCCGTCACGCAGTTCCAGCTGGCTCGCGTGACTGGCGCCGCACGCAAGGGCGACCGCCGCCTGTCGGTGAGGTGCCTGCTGAGAGCCTGCCACGGTCCGTCGAGTGTCACATGGCTGCTGCTTTTCACCCACTGGCTGTTCGCTTTGTGTGCCTTGCCACCTGTTGATTAGTCTGCGTGCCTGTCTGCCTGCCGTCACGGGGATGCAGGTGGACACCACCCGCGGCATCACAGCTGGCCGCTGGATCCGCCTGTATGCCACCAAGCCGCTGGCCACCGGCCCGCGGCGGCAGCTGCTGGGGGAGGAGCAGGAGGGGCGTGAGCGGGTGAAGGTGCAGGTGGAGCCTTGGGAGGCAGAGGCCGAAATGGAGCTGTGGGAGGAGGAGGAGGAGCCGCAGCCGCAGCCCATCTCCCGCCGCCAGCTCACCGAGAAGCAGCAGGCAACCTCGGAGGACGATGGTGGCAGCAGCAGCGGCAGCAGCAAGAAGAAGGGCAGCAAGCGCAGGATGTGCGGTAGGAAGGGCGATCGCCACCGGTGCCGGCGCATCAGAAAGGCGATGAAGGAGTGGGAGAAGGAGGCAGAGGCGCTGGGCCTGGGCCAGCCAGAGGTGCCAGGTGCCAGCAGCAGCGGTGAGGAGGGGGACGAGCAGGGAGGCGAGAAGGCTCCCGCCACCTCGGCGGCAGGCACCCTGGACGCATACATCTTTTTCAACAATGCTGTGGACAGCGGCAAATGTAAGTGTGCGGGGCTGCCTGCTGTGGCTGCGTGCTGCCTGCGTGCCCCTGCCCCTGCTCGCTCTGGGCAGCTGGCGCCAGCGTGTGCGAGCCATGTGCTGAGGCACGCGCTCCTGCAGCGTCTTGGCCTGCTGACCCCTTCGCGTTGGCCGCTGTGCCTCTGCCTGCAGCCCCATTCGGCGGCGAGCGCATCCGCTTCATCTCCAGGTCTGCGCTCCACCCCCGGCTCTTGCCACCATGGGTGCTTGTTGCAACTGCTGATTGCCACACCTGCTGATTGGTGCACTGCTGACAGCTGGCAGCAGCCCTGGCATGCCCAGTGCTGGGCGCGACCCCGCCCACCACGTTGCACCTGCAGGGTATCTGCGGTAGGCAGCGGCTGGATCGAGCTGGAGCGACCGTTGCCATACGATCTCAGGCCTGAGTGGCAGGTGCGCCTTGCCTGCCCGCCTCCCCGGCAGTCGCCACCGCGCCTTCCGTCATCTCTGCTGTTGTATGCGCCATTCATTCTGGGAGCGGCTCCCGCACTGAACCTGCTTAGAGGTGTGCTTCTCTGCCTGCAACTCCCTGCTCCTCCCTGCTTTTGCGCGCTGCAGGTGGCTGTCTATTCGTTTGAGCACTCTGTGCAGCACGTGGGGTATGAGGATTTCACTGTGGAGTTTCAGTGGGGTGAGCCGCCAGCCTGCCCTGCGCCTGCATCTCTCGCTGTGCCTTTTGGCCTGTGCCTGCACCTGCGCCGCAGCCTGCTGCCGCGGCTGGCCGCCAGCTAGTGTGCTGTGCGTGGCCTGCTGGGCCTGTATGCGCCTTGGCGCAGCCTGTGGGTGGCAGTTGGAGAAGGTTCAATCCCCTTTGCTTCCTGTGCCTTGCCCCTTGCGCCCCGTGCAGACACCTACCCCGCCCACTTTGGCGCCAAGGGGTACAATGCCTTCCGGTTCCAGTCCTGCGCCAACGCCTGGATCCGAAACGTGAGGGCCTGCTGGCACCGCTCCCGCTGAGCCCTCCCGCACGACCTTCCCCTGCCCGTCACACCTGCCACATGCCGCTGCGTTGTGCTTGCAGGTGCGCATCATTGATGCCGACAACGGGGCAGAGTCCATCAACTGTGACCTCATCACCATGCAAAACATCACCCTTGAGTTTACGCGGAACAGGTGTGGTCCCACATCTGCATGCGGCTGCAGGCGGGGGGGCCGGGGAAAGGCAGGCGTCGGCGGGCTGCAGAGGGCCGGCGTCGGTGGCGGCGGGGCCGGGCCGGCAGCGGCGACTGCAGACAGCTGCCTGGGGTGGTGTCCAGCCCTCGCATGGCGCGGCCATGGCCTTGCGCAGGCCTGGCCACTGCACATCTCAGCAGGGGCAGGCTCTCACTGTCCCCGGTGTGGGTGTCTCGCCGCAGGGGCAACAAGGGCGTCGGTTACAGCAGCGGCCACCACGGCCTGTGGGCTGCCGCCAGCAGCCTGGTTCACTTCACAGAGTGAGCGCTGCCAGCTGGCTGGCTGGCCTGCCACCCCCCTCGCCCCCTGCCTGCCGCATGCTTGCGGCTTGTTTCTCGCCAGCCCAGCTGCTCCCGGGCTGCATCGCACCCAGCGTGCCTGCTTCCCCATGTGCCCGCTGCCCTTCCATCTTGCAGCCTCACGTTCAAGGGCCGCTTCATTCACGACCTCACCCTGGACGTGTGGAGCCAGGAGTGCGCCTACACCAACAGCCGGGGAGTGGACATGAGCATGGACATGCACAGAGGAGGTGGGTTGGAGGGCACGGCTGCGTTGCCCCGTATGCTTCCCACGCCTTCTCGCGCTCGTGCCCGCCATCCCTGGCACTCCAGCCAGTTCCCTTGCACTGGCGTAAGACCTTCCTGGCTGCTGCGCCCTCTGCGCCCTCCCCGCAGGCGTGCACAACAACCTTTGGAGCAACATTGATGTGGGGCTGGGGTCCCGCACCTTCCAGAGCAGCGGCGCCGCCAGCAAGGGAGCACACGCAGGTGGGGGCTCGCCCCGGCGGCAGCACCTTTCCCCACGGCAGCCTTGGCTTAAGGCCGCTCATCCGTTGCTGTCCCTGCATGTGGCCCAGGCCCGTGGCAAGTGCTCACCCGTTCCTGCTATCCACTGCAGCTGCCAACAACACTTGGTGGAACATCTATGCCAGCTCTCGCCCTACCGCCAGCCTGGCCATCCCCGACTGCGGCTACGGTCCCCTGCTCAACTATGTGGGCGGGTTTGGGCCTCCCGCCAAGGGCGCCGCCGGCATCGCTGGCCCGGGCTCTCCCGCTGGCACCCCCACCCCCCTCTTCCCGGCCTACTGCACTCCGGGAGTGGCGTGGTGGGTGGAGCAGAAGCGGGCTGGGGCCGCCCTGTCTCCGCCAGACCTCTTCCCTGCAATGGTGGCCACGCGCCAGCAGCGCCTGGCCATCCCAGCCGTCCGCCGGCCCAAGAACTAGGCTGGTCGCCATGAGGCTTCACTTTACCCTGGTGCTGGAGGGTTGTCCTTGGGCGAGCTCAGCCATTGTGTGCCAGGCAAGGCGCACACATCTCGCAAACCTCCTTCCAAGACACGCAACTCATGTACTGTGCTATTCTCCGGCTGTCGGTTGCATGATCACCATGGCCCTTCGGCGGCAGCATCCGCCTCCTTGTTACCCAGTGTTGCTCCGCCCCCAACCGCCTGCTGTATTGCCTTGCCCAACTGAGCGCACCAGCAGTTACATTCCCTCGATGTTGCGTTATGTCGCACCTGGAGCTGTGTCAATCAAGGTTTTGCCTCGAGTTGTTGAATTCTTCTTCTTGGCTTGAGTTGTTGAATTCTTTTTTGTTATTCTCACCCAATTTTGCATCAAGTTGGAATCACGGTGCGTCCTCACAAGCACAGTCTCCGACTGAAAACGCGTGGCTGGTCGGCGGTTTGGACTTGGCACGGCGAACTGCGGTTGCCGCAGGAACTGGCCGCCGCCGGCCGGTCGGGGCAGCGGCTGCTCGCGGGTACCCCCAATTGCCATTCTGTGATGCTAGAAGAGGGCGATCGTCGATCCCTTCGCCAAAACGGGGGCTCCGCACGGTTCTACGCTCCCCACCCCGCGCCCTCCCTCGCTGAGCAGGCACCGCAGCAGGCCACGAACCCACTTTGCACAGGCCCCCGGCGAGCGATCCAGTAACACTAGGAGCCTCTGTGAGGCCGCTGGGACACAAGTTGGTCAGCGATCTCTGACATTGCCGGCGCTTGGAGGTCAGTTGTGGTTGGGCGGGCTTGAAGAGAGGCTGGGTGTGGTGTGTAGGGCGTGCATCGTGTTATGGCACCGTCACTGAGCCTTTTGAGCGCCGCAGGCGGCTGCCCGAGGCTGCCGTGCCGCTGCCACCCAGCCGGAACTGGAGTGCATGCTGGCCCGCTGCCTGCACACCCTGACTCGCAGTTTGGAGGTCGCCACACCTTGCAGATCGCGGGTTTCAGGGCGCGCTGCACAGCCGTCAACGGACGTGGGCGGTGATGCCGGCGGCGCACAGCAGCCGCCTGGCGGCGGTGGCAGCACTGGTCATGGCTCTGCTCGCGGTCGCGGCTCCAGCAGAGGCAGAAAAGTGCGGGCCCAGGGCGGGTGGTGCCAAGTGTGCAAGTGCCGCGGCTTGCTGCAGCAAATACGTGAGTGCACGGGTCAGCCAACGGTGATGGGCCAGCTGGCAGTCTCTCGCGAAGTGCATGCGCCTGAGTCGCAGCTGCATGCACTGCTGTCATGCAACCTGCCATGTCTCCCATCTCACCTCGCATGAATTCATGGAGTGGCGTATGATGCAGGGCTGGTGCGGGGTTGGGCCCCGGTTCTGCGCCGTGGGCAAATGTATCAGTGGTGCCTGCGATGGCAGTAAGAAGCCCACCCCAAATCCGCAGCCCAAGCCCCAGCCTGGTATGCACGTTGTGGAAATGTGGTATGGCGGCACAGCACGCCTGCGGTGTGTAGGCGGCAGGGTTATAACCCAGCTGTGGGGCATTCGCTACGGCAATCCCGCCAAGAAGTGCAGCTCGCCTGTCGCCCCCAAGTGAGAGCGGCAGGGACCTTGGCTTGCTGCCTCTACTGTTGCGTTCCGCTTCCTCAGCTAGCGCTCCTCACAGCTGTGACCCTGGCCTGTTCCCATTGAGGGCGTCTGCCATCTCTCTGCAGGATTGTCTCGTCAATGTGCCTGCGCAAGACCGAATGTTCCATCGCGGTGACGACGCCAAGATTTGGCAACCCTTGTCCTGGAGTTCCCAAGTCGCTGCGCGTGGGCTACCGGTCAGTCAGAGGCGATGCGCTGCGGCAACCCCATACAAGCAGCACTGCCAGTTTTGAACCGCCTGCTGCCGTCTGCTGACAGCTCTCGCTGCCCGCTGTGACAGATGCGAGATGCCATCCAAGCCGGTGCCGCGCCCAAGCCCCAAGCCATCGCCCCGGCCCAGCCCCAAGCCCAAGCCTGTGCCACAGCCAGCCTCCAGCAACGCCTTCTACAGCCCATTCTTTGGGAGGAACGGGGAGATGTGGAGCCCCCGGGCTCGCCTGGCAGACTGGAGTTATGCCGGTTACATGGGTGAGTCGAGGTGGTGCAGGCACGCTGCGGGACATGCATGCTGGGCAGCACATGTGTCGTTGGAAGCGATCTGTGGCAGGGGCGGGCTGCGTTGAGCTGTCCTTGGTCGCCGCATAGCCTGTGCTGGCTACTTGGACAGCAGGCGGCAGGCCCATGCTGCGACATCGATGGTTGCGGTTGGGGGCGCTGTGTGCTACAGGCCTGCAGGCCGCCATCCCCAGCTACCCAGTCAAGTTTAATGTGCGGGATTTTGGGGCGAAAGGAAATGGCAAAACAGGTACACATGGGGGTGAGGATGCTTGTGTCCAAGCCCAGACTGCTGCTTCGCGCTCAGAGGTCTCTCTCAGCGTGCCCATTCATGCTGCCTGCTGCTTCCACAGACGACACCAAGGCATTCATAGCGGCGCTGGCGGCAGCCTCCGAGGTGGCAGCGCTGTTCAACACATTTGACTGTAGCACGCGTTGGCGACAGAGGCGGTGCACGGTGGGTGGAGTGCCGCTGTGGCCACTTGTCAAGAACCAGCAGCGGATGGAAGGCTGGCCAAGATGATTGAGATGCCAAGTTGCCTGTGGCAGTCTCTGTGCACTCTTTGTGTCACACCAGCCTGCTTGACACCTGTGCTGCCCATCTGTGTGCAGAGCCCGCACAATGGCTTCCTGAACCAGGGCAAACAGGGTGTGGCCGTGTTTGTGCCGCCCGGCACGTATGTCATCACCCAGAGCATCACCATCACCCAAAGCAATGTGGTGCTGCGAGGCGCCAGCGTGAGTCGGTTGTTATGTGCAGGGTGGGGGTCCAGCACTGCAGGAGGCATGTGTCGGTGTCCCTGCTGGGGCAGGAATCCGGCCCTCACTGGCTGAATGGCTGGCCTCTACAAACGGCTGCCTCCTGCCGTGCCGCAGATGGGAAACACTATCCTGTTCTTCCCCAAGCCGCTTCAAGCCATTTACGGCAGGAGCCAGTCCTGGTCCTTCGGCAGCGGGTTCCTGATGTGAGGATTCCCGCTGCACTCCGCTGCTCCTGCCAGCTGGGGCTGGCAGCCAGCACAGCCCTGCACCTGAGAGAGGCAGGATGGCTGCTGCCCACCACCCCTTGCTCATGCTCCTCCTGCTCCAGCATCGACGGCAACAATGCCGGCGGCAACCAAGCCAAGTACCAGCTGGCGCGGGTCACAGCCGACGCCGACAAGGGCAGCTGGCGCCTGCAGGTGGGCCTGCCCCTGCCTGGCTGGCCCAGCGCCGCCTGCGAGCAGCTGCTGCGTGTGAGCCTGCTGGCGCTGACCCCCTGGCAGCCATAGCGTGGAGGAGATCCTCTGCCTGATGCCCTGCTGCTCGCCGCTGCTTGCCTCTGCGCCGCAGGTCAGCAGCACTGCTGGCATCCAAGTGGGCCAGTGGGTGCGCATCTATGCGCTGGCCCCCTCCCCAAACAGACGCCGCCAGCTGCTGCAGAACGGCACCGCCGTGCCCGCCAGCGGGCCCGGGGGCGACGCGGTGGGCATCGCCGTCGAGCAGAGCGGCGCGGGCGGCGGCGCGGGCGGCCTGCTGCCTCTCACCCCCGTGCTCCAGCGCCAGGTGGCGGTGGCTGCTGAGTATGCAGCCTCCGAGCTGGCTGAGGAGGGGGTGTGGGCTTCAGCCAGGGGCGGCACCCTGGATGCCTACCTGTATGGAGACAACCTGGTGGACAGCGGCACCAGTGAGTCGGCTGCCAGCGGCCGGTGCTGCACCGAGCAGCCTGGGAGGAGGGAGGGGGCTGGGTGCGGCGCATCGGCGCAGCAGCAGCGGCAGTGCGCTGCAGTACTGCACGGCAGCAGCTGCAGCAGCGCAGAGGGACAGGGGCTGGGCGCACGGCTGGCCCGCCTGCCTGTCTGCCTGCATTGTGCGCCTTGCCTGCCGAACCCCAGCCAGCCAGCCGCCCACCTCCCTGCCCACCTCCTGCCTGCCTCCTCTGCTGCAGATGCGTTTGAGGGTGCGGACCACATCCGTTTCTCTTTCAGAGTTACGGCCAAGGGCAGCAACTGGATCCAGCTGTCACGGCCCCTGCCTTACAACCTCCGCACTCGGTGGCAGGTATGGCCGCGGGGCCGGTGACAGCTGATCGGCTCGGAACCTCACCTTCCGGACACCACACCCATCTTGCCGGCACCTCCTGCAGGTGCATGTGTACCAAATCTACGCCTCTGTGCAGCATAGCGGCATAGAGAACTTCACTTTCAAGTTCCCCTGGGGTGAGGGCAGAGCTGTGCGCCCTGCTGGCTGGCCAGCAGAGCAGCAGTTGCATACCGGCAGAAGCACTGTGGATGCCCCGCCTCTGCTGCCCGCTGCAACAGCGAGTGACGAGCGTGTGCCGCTGCTGCCGCCTGCGGCGCCCCCTGCCCTCTCGCAGATGTCTACCCAGTGCATCTGGGGTGCAAGGGCTACAATGCCATTGCAGTCACCAGCGTCGTCAATGCCTGGATCCGCAACGTGAGTGCTCCTGGCCTCGCCCGCAGCAGCTGCGCCAGGCAGCCATGCCTTGCGCCATGCCAAGCCTGGCCGTCAGCCCCAGCTCGCCGCGTGCCGCCGCGCCCCACCGGCCGCTGCCGGCGCTGGCTATACGTGGGCCCCGTTCCGATTGGCGCCGCCCGCCTGCCCGTCGCCTTGCTGCTGGGCGGCACGTGCAGATCAGGATCATCAACGCCGACAACGGCATCGTGGTCACCCAGTCTGACTTTGTGAGTGTGCGGTCCGTCTCGTTGGTGGTGGAGAGGCCGCGCTGGAGCCAGAGCACCTACCCCGACAACGGCCACCATGCCCTCATGATCGGCCGCTCCGCAGACGTCTCCTTCCGCTTGTGAGTGTGTGGGGCGGGCGGGGGGGGGCGGCAGCGGTGGCGGGAGCAGCAGCCAAGGGCAGTGGAGGGCAAGGGCGGTTCCCAGCTGCTACATGTGCTGTGCCGCGGAGCATTTGGTCGGAGGCCTGTGTTGTTGGCGGCGAGCCCAGCGGCCCATCTCGTCGCCGCCCCCACTGCTGCCAGCTTTCACGCCTGGTCTCTCCCCCCCTCCCTGCCTGGCATGCCACAGCTTCAACATCGGGACCCGCTATATGCACGACCTGTCCCTGGATGGCTTTGCAGAGCGGAATGTGAGCTGCTGTGGCGGCGCCGTGCCTGCCCAGTGCCGGGGCCCTGCTGGATGCTGTGCATGGCAGTGCTGCTGGGGCCCTGCTTGTTGCTGTTGCAGCCCTGACCGCAACTGTGGTCTTCCTGCAGGTGTTTTCTAGCGGCACGGGCGTCGATATGAACATCGATTGCCACCGTGCAGGTGTGAGGGAGGGTGGGAGCAGAGGACGCCTGGCATGCATGCTGTGCCATTTGCAGTGGTGTCCTGCTGAGGGTTTGGTGGCACTTATGCCGGTGGCTGCTGAGTGCTGCATGTGTCTCCTGTTGTAGGGCCTCACAACAACCTGTTCGGCCTCTTGAGGCTGGGCAAGGCCACACGCGCCTTCCGCAGCGGCGGCGAAGAGACCCGGGGCGCACACTCAGGCGCGCGTGCATCCGCCTGCGCCGTTCAGAGTTGTGCCTATCTGCTGGCAGGCTGGAAGCTGGCTGTTATGCTTCCGGCTCATTTGCTTCAGGATGTCCCATGGCCGATCTCTGGTCCCTCTGTGGACTGATCGCCGCATATGATACTGCCGTCGTGCAGGCGCCAACAACACGTTCTGGAACATAGCCCCATCTGCGCGAGGCGCCAAGCTGGAGCTGCCGTCCTGCGAATTTGGCCCGCTGCTCAACTTCATTGGCTCCTACCTGCCCCCCGTCCAGTCCAGGGACTCACGCTATGCGGAGTCGGTCGCCGCTACCTCTGCCGCCACTGAGGGCAACGCGACTTTGGGCGGCATCGGCGGCAGCAATGCCACGGGCGCCACTATCAGCAGCGATGGCGGCCTGGTCGGCATCGCAGATGCATACAACCCGGCATGGTGCTTGAAGAAGAAGTGGCGAATCACCCTGGTGCCGCCGGGCCGGGTGCTGCTCCCTAGCAACCTGTTCCAAGCCATGGCGGATACGCGCAGGCAGCGGGGACTGGGCTAGACGTGCTACCGGTGTGCGTATGGGAGGTGCAGGCGCTCGGCTGCCTCCTGCGCCATGGCAGCTCCGGTTCCCGCCTGCCCCAATCATCCATGCTGGAAAGCAGCAGTGTCATCTCCCCCAGCTCTCATTGGTTCATTAGACAATGTTGCTGCTTGTTGCTTTCCCAGTTTCTTGCTTTTCCCATGATTGGTTGCCGATTCTTCCATACAGGTCAATTACTTTGCATTCATTACAGTGCATCTTATCACTCCTCCGCAACACAACCAACACACCTCATGCCTGACCACTGGTGGCTGGCAGATGGCGGCGAAGCGCCAGCTACACAACGTCAGCCCACAGCACCGGAGAATCGTCTCTCTGCAGCAACGTCCTGTTCACGATCAGGTTGACCTAGGCGGTGCAAGGATACACAATCACGCCACTCTGACGCTGCACTCCATCCAGCAGTCCCGTCCGGACAGCCTCCGAGCTCCCCACTGAGTCTCCATTTTCCTTCCTTCAGACGGATATGGAGTATTTAGATGCAATTCTCCTGCATATACCTTTGCCAGCGTCACGATACCCACGTGGCGTTTCGCCCATCTCCGGCACAACGCGAAAATAGCGCCTGCATCTTCGCCTTTCATGCATTCTCGCGTTTCAGAGTACTTAGCACCTGCCGCTCTGCCTCTCCAACTCCTGAATGGCGAGAAGGGTGCTGTGGGTCGTCCTCCTCAGCCTGCTGGCATCGTGTGGCGCCGCGCAGGGTGAGCAGTTCTGCAGCTGCTGAAATTGGGGGTGAACCCAGGGACTGCGCAGCGCAGCGCAGCGCAGTTGCCCGGGTTTGCACGGAGCTGGCCACGCAGCCGGCTTGCCAGCCCTCTGGATGCTCTGAAACGGGCGGCTGAAGTCGTTGAAAGGCACCCAGAGGGACGTGACGCGTGACGTCAGTCTCCGGTTCCGGCCATGCCGCCTCTCCCCCTTTCCCCTCTCCCCTGTGTGATATCGCCCTGTGCTGCGTGCAGCGGCAGGCAGGGATGCAAGCAGCTCCAGGGTGAGCAGAAAGCTGGCGGCAGCGGTGGCAACGCCGACCACGCTGTCCGCCTGCCTGACGCAGCTCAACACCGCGACCGCTGCAAACAAGACCTGCTACACAAAACTCAGCAATGTGACGACCTACTACATCAGCTGCAACAACAAGGTCACCACATATTGGAATCGCTGGCGGGTCTGCAACTCCACGATCGCCCCGCTCCAGTTGCAGGCAAGCTCAGCGGGGTGCCGTTGGCTGACTCAGTCAGGCAGGCTGCCGCCGCCGCCGCCGCCTCGGCAGCCAGCCAACGCCAATGCATGCCACAAATGAGTGATGCATGTGATGGTGCGGCAGAGCGGGCAGCCCTGCATGCCGGAATGAACGGTTGCCCACCACGGATGCCTTGGGGCAAGGCCCCGCCAACCTTGCTCCTGCAGCTCAAAACAACAAACGACATCGCCAACAAATACACAAAGCTGTACAACGACACGCGTGCCTCATATAGCTCGTGTATCAAGGAAAAGAACCAGTGCAACTCAGATAAGATAAGCTGGCGGAACAAATTCTCCACAGCCAATGCGTCGCTCAGCAGCACCGCCGTCGGCCTCTCCCAGTGCCGCCTGAGCTCATCCACGCTTGAGAGCCAGTACCAGCTGGCCAGCGGCGCCCTTCAAGAGTGCAAGGCCAATGCGACGGCGTTAAAATCAGCTCTAGGCGGCTGCCAGGCCAGTGAAACAACCCTCAGCGGCAACCTGTCAGCCACGGCCCAGGCGCTGGCTACGTGCCAAGCCAACGCGACGCTACTTGCCCAGGGCTTGTCGGGGCAGCAGCTCAACGCCACAGCGCAGGCTGTGTTGCTGGCGGGCTGTGAGAACAACGCCACCAAACTGGCGCAGGACCTGGGGTGAGCAGGCAGGTGCAGCGGCGCGGTGGGGTGACTGAGCACGCACGCCATTCTCAGGAGCATGTCTTGACTGGCAGCGGCAGCCTCCCGTCTGGTGCGCCTCCTCATCCCCTTGCCGGCTTGTTGCCTGCTGCTCAGCAGGACCGCTGTGTTTCCCTATGCAGGAGCTGCTCAGCGGACGGATACGGGCTTGAGGTGCGTGCAGCGCCTGCCGTGCGTATGGTGCATGTGATCTGCCGTGCCAACCATGGGTGGTCCGTGTTGCCATTCACCTGCCACGCGCATGCCGTTACTCTGGGTGCTGTGCAGGAGCAGCTGACAGAGTGCCGTGGCAGCATTACAACCAGGAACTCGGAGCTTGTGCAGCTGCAGGAGCAACTGCAGGTGCTGCAGGGCAGGCTGGATGAAGTCAACGCCAGCCTGGCGACCAGTCAGAGTGAAGTGCACACGTACAAGAATCTGGCTAACGTGCGGTTCAGCACAATTGCCAGTCTGAGGGCGCAGCTCAACGAGTCGCAGGCGCAGCACAACAGCACCAAAAAGACGCTTGAGGAAGTGAGGGAGGAGCTGGAGGGCGCGCACAGCCAGATGGGGACATTGCAGGGTCAGGTATGAATGCGGCTGCCCCAGCAAGCTGGCCTGGCCTCAGCCAGGCTGCCCTGCAGCTGATTGAATGCAGCGGCGCCACGCCACCTCCACGAAGCAGCTGAGTTTTCCTGTCTGTTTCCATTGAACCTGCAGCTGGACAGCGCAGCAGGCGACCTGTCAGTCTGCAACTCCGAAGCACAGTTGCTTTCTGACAAAGAGACAGCGTGCAAGTCGAAGGTACATGTAGGCCTCATGGGCTGTTGTTGCCGCCGGGCTGGCACAGGAAGGGCGGCGCAGGGCAGGGTGGGAGCAGGGTGTGTTGCTTGTGTGCCTGATAGTGGTGGGAGCGGCAGTGTCTGCATTGCTTCAGCTGCCGCCTGCTGCTACTCAGGGGTGCTTCCACTTGGCTCTGCAGCTGACGGCGTGCCAACTTGTGAACACCACACTCACGCTGGAGTTGTCAACCGCTCTAAATGAATCCGCAACATGCCAAGATGAGCTGTATACAGTGCTGCAGGCCAATGGTGGGTTCCCGGCCAGGCTGTTGCCAGCAGGCCACCTCCAGGCCCTGCTCATCGCCCGCAGCTTGTCATTAAAAAAATAGGCTGAAGCAGGCCTCCTGTCAGCCTGATTGCACAATCTACGGTATGCCTGCTCCCTTTTGGCTGCCTGCAGTTACATGTGCCGCCGACCTGGTGTCCTGCCTAAGTGAGAAGGCTGCCATGGAGCAGGTCAATAATTGTGCGACCGAAGTCGCAGCCTGTGCATCAGACCGGGACTCTTGCAACAGCAGGCTGGACACATTGCCAGCTGTGCCAGAGTGCATTCATTCATTCATTCATTCAGCACACAGCCCGGCCGCCTCTTGCTCGAGGGCGGCCCACTTTGGCCTGGGCCGCCCGGGCCGCCCTCCCCCCCGGGCGCATGTTCGGTGTTGGAGGGGTGTGCCCAGCGATAGGGGGCCCCTGAAGGCATGCGCCGAGGCCGGGAAGCGTGGTTCGGCGCTGCTGCACGCTTGGCGATTTGACCAGAACCACGTGCCGCCGAGCTGCGGCCGCAGTTTCCGGCCCACGGTCTACGGTCGCAGCCACGGGACTCGGCGGCACGGCGTTTGGGCCCAAGCTTGCTGCCGCCGCCGCCGTGCCCGGGGGGCAGCGCGGCGGCGGCGGCACGCTGCGACGCCCCCGTGCTGCCGAGCTGCGGCCGTAGTTTCCTGCCAGAAGCCCACGGCCACAGCCACGGGACTCGGCGGCACGGAGTTTCGGTCCACGGCTTGCTGCCGCCGCCGTCGCAGGGGTGCTGCCTGCGGCGGCGGCGGCACGGCGTTTGGGTCCACGGCTTGCTGCCGCTGCCGCCGCCGCAGGGGTGCTGCCTGCGGCGGCGGCGGTAGCGCACGTGGCAACCCCCCGCGTTTCCTTGCCTCCCATCCACCGGACCCCGTCCTGCGCTTCACTTTGTTTAGGGAGGGGCTGCTCACTGCTCATTGCTCATTGCTCATCGCACACTGCTCAACGCTCATTGCCCTATATCCCACCCAGCCGCAGGACTCCACTGCCGCCCGCGCCCCGCCCCATCTGGCCGCTTGCGCGCCCCATCCCCCCTCGATGGGGCCCGCCCACACCGGGGCCTCCCCCCTCCCGCCCACTGCTTTCTCAACGGCCCCGAGCCGGGGCTGCCCTCATTGCATACATAGTGCGCCTTTCCCTGCTTTTCTAGTGACCTAGCGTTCCGCACTGCCGTTTGGCCAGCCCATGCTCCCGTACCGTTGCGTTTCTCCCCAATGCGCCATGCCACTTTGCCAGTCATACACACGTTTCGATGCGTGCCCTGTCAGCTGCTTGCGTTGCATGTCGCCTTGCTCCACCCCTGTTTTATTGCTTTCTCTGCTTTCGCCCGGTTCCCGTCCCGTTTCGGCGGGGAGTCTATGTTGCAAGCTAGTTCTTGCTTTACCAGACTTTAAGCCCACACAAGCACAAGCAACACATGCTCAACCAACCTGATAAACCTGACGGGTGAGCTGCGTGCACTGCTGTCCAGACGTTGTAATCTTAGCTCTCTGCCCAGCTGCACTCAGCAGCACCGCTCTGCGCCAAGTTCCTGGCTGCTCTGGGCAAGGTGGCATACAGCAGGGGCAGCGCATCCCGTTTCAGGATAGCCTGCCAGGCAGCCCCGCCTGCAGTCACCAGGAGCACACACGTGCCCAACCGCCTTTGACGGACTCACACACACACACACACTGCTGCCCTGCTGCTGTTCAGAAAGTACGGCCTCTGCGTACAACGAAATCATCGATCTGCGGTCTGCCAACCATACCTGCTCCAACGAGCTGCAGGAGTGCCTGCCGAATCTGAGCCGCTGCGAAACAGATTACGAGGACCTCCTGCTCTCCTGCCTGCACTAGACCTCCGCACCGGCAGGCATGCCACACCAGTTTTGCCACAGCAGCCCCCGGGCTGCTGTGGCAAAACCTTTTCTGCCCAGCAGCCCCCTTTCATCGCTGGCTGGCGTTTTCCGGCTGCCACTCTTTGCTTTCAATCCCTTCCTCATTCTTGTCAGCGAAAGCCTGCCACACTGATGGTTTCCAAATTGACACCAAATCTGCTGCACCCGAAGCCATGTGTTTTTCAAGCCCTCCATTGATTCATGTGCTGAGCGCACCCCGCCACCCATCCTCTTCCCCTGTCTGTCTGTGCACTCTGCTCGGCACGACTTCTAGGCACTCGCTCCGCTGTGCTGCTATGATCATTGCTGCACGTTGCACCTGCGGCGCCTGCCGATCAATACATCTGCGTTACCGCCACATCTTCCTCTCTACCGAACTGCCTGCAACAGCCCACACACACTCGTGGCACAGTATGACTCACAACAAATGCCCTTATGCCCATGCCCATAGCACACCTGCGCCAGCCATCCATCTCATATGACCAAACTGTACTGTCCCTTAGAACAAGATCAACCGAAAAACGCGTGGGGGAAGCCGTAGTCGCCAGTTGAGACGGGGAGCTGCGGTTGCCGCTGGAACTGGCCGCCGCCGGCCGGTCGGGGCAGCGGCTGCTCGTGGGTACCCCCAATTGCCATTCTGTGATGCTAGAAGAGGGCGATCGTCGATCTCTTCGCCAAAACGGGGGCTCCGCACGGTTCTACGCTCCCCACCCCGCGCCCTCCTTCACTGAGCAGGCACCGCAGCAGGCCACGAGCCCACTTTGCACAGGCCCCCGGCGAGCGATCCAGTAACACTAGGAGCCTCTGTGAGGCCGCTGGGGCACAAGTGAGTCAGCGATCTCTGACATTGCCGGCGCTTGGAGGTCAGTTGTGGTTGGGCGGGCTTGAAGAGAGGCTGGGTGTGGTGTGTAGGGCGTGCATCGTGTTATGGCACCGTCACTGAGCCTTTTGAGCGCCGCAGGCGGCTGCCCGAGGCTGCCGTGCCGCTGCCACCCAGCCGGAACTGGAGTGCATGCTGGCCCGCTGCCTGCACACCCTGACTCGCAGTTTGAGGGTCGCCACACCTTGCAGATCGCGGGTTTCAGGGCGCGCTGCACAGCCGTCAACGGACGTGGGCGGTGATGCCGGCGGCGCACAGCAGCCGCCTGGCGGCGGTGGCAGCACTGGTCATGGCTCTGCTCGCGGTCGCGGCTCCAGCAGAGGCAGAAAAGTGCGGGCCCAGGGCGGGTGGTGCCAAGTGTGCAAGTGCCGCGGCTTGCTGCAGCAAATACGTGAGTGCACGGGTCAGCCAACGGTGATGGGCCAGCTGGCAGTCTCTCGCGAAGTGCATGCGCCTGAGTCGCAGCTGCATGCACTGCTGTCATGCAGCCTGCCATGTCTCCCATCTCACCTCGCATGAATTCATGGAGTGGCGTATGATGCAGGGCTGGTGCGGGGTTGGGCCCCGGTTCTGCGCCGTGGGCAAATGTATCAGTGGTGCCTGCGATGGCAGTAAGAAGCCCACCCCAAATCCGCAGCCCAAGCCCCAGCCTGGTATGCACGTTGTGGAAATGTGGTATGGCGGCACAGCACGCCTGCGGTGTGTAGGCGGCAGGGTTATAACCCAGCTGTGGGGCATTCGCTACGGCAATCCCGCCAAGAAGTGCAGCTCGCCTGTCGCCCCCAAGTGAGAGCGGCAGGGACCTTGGCTTGCTGCCTCTACTGTTGCGTTCCGCTTCCTCAGCTAGCGCTCCTCACAGCTGTGACCCTGGCCTGTTCCCATTGAGGGCGTCTGCCATCTCTCTGCAGGATTGTCTCGTCAATGTGCCTGCGCAAGACCGAATGTTCCATCGCGGTGACGACGCCAAGATTTGGCAACCCTTGTCCTGGAGTTCCCAAGTCGCTGCGCGTGGGCTACCGGTCAGTCAGAGGCGATGCGCTGCGGCAACCCCATACAAGCAGCACTGCCAGTTTTGAACCGCCTGCTGCCGTCTGCTGACAGCTCTCGCTGCCCGCTGTGACAGATGCGAGATGCCATCCAAGCCGGTGCCGCGCCCAAGCCCCAAGCCATCGCCCCGGCCCAGCCCCAAGCCCTCACCTTCGCCCAAGGGTGTGCAGTATAGCAAGCTGTGGGGCAAGGGCGGGGAACTGTGGCGCGCCACCAGCAGGCTGACAGATCAGAGCTATTCGGGTTACATGGGTAAGCAGTTTGTGCCTGCTTATGGTGCCGGCCTGGCTGAGGTTGTTAAGCATGAAGCAACAGGCAGGTGAAATCTCGCTGAACCTCTCGCGCCTGCTTGAAGCTGGGTGCATGCTGTATGGCTGCCTGATCTGCAGCAAACGAAGCTCGCATCCCAACCTACCCAGTGCGCTTCAACGTAAAGGCGTTTGGTGCAAAGGGCAACGGCAGAACAGGTGCGCGGGTGCCTGGCACTGCCTGCCCCGTTTGCCAACTTTTTGCCTGCGCCAGCAGGAACCCTGCGTGCAAAAGCTGCCGCGGCCTGCCTTCCTGCTGCTTGCTGCTGCTCTCACTGCCCTCGTGCACTGCGCTGGCATTGCAGATGACACTGCTGCCTTCAAAAAGGCCATAGATGCGGCCTCCAGGCTTGCCGCCACCATGAGCCAGGTGGGCAGTGGGCTATCCCAAGCATTTGCTTGGACGCATTCAGGCGGTTGCATCCCCCCTCAGCAGGTGCCAAGTCGACCTGTGTCTACCACCATGCGTACCCCTCCATGCCACACAGCAAGGAGACCTGCACGTGTCTCGCTGCTGGTGCGCAGGCGCCTGATCCCGGCATGGGCTTCCAGAACGGCGGCCGCAGCGGCGTAACGATCCTGGTGCCTTCCGGGACTTACCGCATCACACAAACGCTCGAGATAGAGCAGAGCAACGTGGTGTTGAAGGGAGAAGGGGTGAGCAGGCACCTGGAGCTGGCCGCAGGGCATGCTGCTCTTCACGCCTTGAGCAGATGCCACAGTGCATTCATCCAGCGGCGGCTTTGAGGTCTTGGGTGGCTTTACCTCCCCGGTGCAGGCTGGCCGTACCACCCTGTACTATCCCAAGAGCCTGTCTGCCATCTATGGCAACAAGGAGGAGTGGGCTGTGTCTGGGTCCTTCCTGACGTGAGCAGGCAGCCTGCCTGCTGGGACTGCCCCTGGTGCTTGGTGCCGCTGCTGCCATGACAACGTCAGCAACCATCCCGCCACCTGATCCTCCGTCAGTAACTGCTGCTGCAGCATCACGGGATTCAACCCTGGCTTCAGACACTCCAGATCTGCCCTGGCCGCAATCACCGTCGCCGCCCGCCGTGGCGACAAAAAGCTTTGGGTGGGTGCCTGCTGGCCTGCCTGTATGGCTGCTTGCCAGCGTGCTGGTTGTGCTGGCATGCTCTCTGCTGCTTCAGGCTCAACTGTCTGACAGCGCTGCTCACAACGAATTCTGTGCTGCTGCCCACCGCCGCCACTGCCTGGATTTAGGTGGCAAACACTCGGGACATTTCCGTCGGCATGTGGGTGCGCATTGTGGCTCTGGAGCGCTACAAAGGCTTTCGCGGCCGGCGGCTGGCACAGGCTGGCAGCGAGCAGGCGGCCTCGATCATCCAGCAGCAGCAGCAGCAGCAGGTGCCTGCCACAGCCAACCAGACGTCTGAGGGCGGCGTCCCTGGCGGGCTGCTGCCGCTGACCGCTGCTCTGAGGCGGGCGCTGGACATTGGCAGGGCAGACCTGCTAGCAGATATGGACACTGGGGAAGACGGCGTCACGGCAGCGGCGGCCGCTGGCAGCCTGGATTCCTACCTTTATGGGGACATGCCAGACCTCAACAGCGGAAGAAGTGAGGGGCAGCACAGCAGAGGCCTTGTCTGCTGCGTGCGCTGGGCCTGCAGCTGCTTGAACCACCCCGTTCTGAACCTCCCTGCATTGCGCTGTCCATGCTCTGCGCCTGGTGCCCTCCCTGTGCTGCAGACTCGTACCCCAAAGCCGACCATATTAACTTTGTCACCAGGCAAGGGCACTGCTAAGGGCATGTCAGCTGCCGTGCTGCATTGAGGCAGCGGCGCCTGTATCCCACAGCCCGCATGCAGCAGTGGTGCTTGGGGCTGCCAGCTCCACCTGCAGCTGGGCTGCTATTGAATGCCTGCCTGCTGCAGGGTGGCTGCCAAAGGGCCCAACTGGATCAAACTGGAGCGCCTGCTGAACTACGACCTGCGGCTGCATTGGAAGGTGTGGGGCGGCTGGAGGTCCAGCCAGCACGCCTGGAAGCAGCCACGTTCACCAACGGCGTGGTTCACAAGGCCTCAACCAACCTGCTGTGCCTGCTGTGCAGCCGTATGTCTATCGGTACTCGCCTGAGGTTCAGCACAGCGGATTCGAGAGCTTCACCGTGCGGTTTGCACACGGTGAGACCCTGAGATCTTAGCTGCCAGCCCTGCCTGCCCTCCCCTCCCCAGCAGGTCCTGAATTCGGCATGCTGGTAAGCTCCCCTTGATCGAGGCTGGCTCTGTTGGCCCTGCCGTGCAGGCTTCTACCCCGAGCACCACACGGCATACGGCTTCAACGGCCTCGGTATCTACGACTCGGGAAACTGCTGGATTCGCAATGTGAACGCAGCCCTGCGCGCTGCCTCTCTTCCGCCATGCCCGTACCGCCGCCGCTGCTGCTTCATGCGTGCACAGGTGCTAGCACTGCTATCAGCCGCCCGCTCACCCGATCACGAGCATGCATGCCCGATGCGCTATGGGTGATGCAGGTCAAGGTGGTGAATGCAGACAATGCCATCGGAGCATTCCGCTCTGAGTTTGTGTCTGTGCGGGGTGTGACGGTGTCGGTTGAGAAGCCCAGGTGCGAGGCACCGTGGGGAGCTGGCGGCCCGCCAGCTGGCAGCGCCGAGCAGTCTGGCGCTGCTGACCGGGACCCTGCACTCACCAAGGGCGCAGTCTCCAGCCCAATGGCGCAGCCCTTGCCCATCCCTGCTACTGCTGACGGCCCTGTTGCCGCGCCCTGCTCGTGCCACTTGCACTGCCTATATTGCTGCAGGTACACCAAGTCCACCTTCCCCGCCAACGGCCACCACGCCCTGTGGGGATCAGGCGCAGTTCTGACCGAGTTCTCCGGCTTCCGCATCACCACGCAGTACATGCACGACATCACCTTTTCCGTCTTTGCTGAAAACCTGGTGCGAACATGCATGCAGGCAGCCTGCCAGCCACGGGGCAAGGCGGTTGTGCACGGCGGGGTGGCCAGATGGTGGATGCGGTGGTGGCAGCCATGCCATGTTTTGCTGTATGGACGCAGGTGTTTGCCAACGGACAGATGCTGGATGGGAACATCGACTTCCACCGTGGAGGTGAGCCGCGGCAGCAAGCGTCAGACGCCGCCACACGCCGCAAGCCACAGCTCAGCTCTGCTGCTGCCGGACGCCTGGCAGCGCTGGCATGTCCGCTCGCCATGATGCCCCTGTTGCGCTTCGCGTGTGCAGGCCCCCACAACAACCTCGCCAGCAACATCAACCTGGGGCGCGGCACCAGGGCCTTCCACAGCGGCGGCAACACCGTCCGCGGCACGCATGCAGGTGTGTGGTGTGGCTGGCTGTTGAGGGTGGTGGGTATTGCGGTAGTGTGGTGAGGTGCAGGTGGGGCCGGGCACAGTCGGGCTGGAACAGGGAGGAAAGTTGGCGGACGCACAGCTCTGGGCATGGATGGACGGGGCACCATCCCATTTCACCAGAGCCTCCCTGGCAAACACCATGCCTCCCTCCCCATGCGTCCCTGCAGCCGCCAACAACACAGTGTGGAACGTGGGGCCGGCCAGCAAGCGGCAGGTGGCTCTGCCTGGGTGCGACTTTGGCCCCCACCTGGTGTTTGTGGGCAGCTACGCGCCGCCCACGCCGGGCGCGGAGGGCGACAGCAACTCTGGCGACCGCCGGCGGCGCAGCCTGCTGGCCTCCCCGCAGCTGACTGGATGGTGCCGGCAGCGCAGGTGGTGGGTGGAGGACGTCCCTACCACCCAGCAACTGCTGCCCAGGGACCTCTACGCTGCCATGGTGGCCACCCGCAGGAACCGCATTCGCGGATGATGCGTGCCGGCAACGCGTACGCTTTGGCTGTTGCTTCCTGTGTACCTTCAGTCTACCTCATGCCGCCCTACCATCTTTCATGCCGTCTCCTCTCCCTCTGCCAGCTCTTCTCTCCCTTTGCCAGCTCTTCTAAATTCAATGCACAGGATTATTGATTGATATCGATTCTTCCCTATCCTCTCCATACGATGCATTCTTGATTGCCCATTCTGGCACGTTCTTTCCGTGCACTCGCTGCCACTGCCGCTGCTGGCCTGTTTGTTGTTCAAATGAAAACAGTGGCAAGTGTAACTGCAAGGCTGCAGTCTTGTCGGGTGCACGCAATATCTCAGGCACAGCAACCTGCAACCTGCAAAGCTTGGACGGGCGTCAGGGCCGAACAGATCATGCTGCCGCCGCCGGGCGCCACATCTGCAGCATGCAAGCGAAACGAGACCCTGAAATCCGCAGGAGCAGTTCAGGTCATGCAGGCATTGCAGGGTACTGTTGCTGCTGTTGCTGCCCTGCAAACAAGCAAGAGCTGCCCATTTGGTGTCAAAATGCCTACATGCCGCCCAAGTCTGCAAGCATGCAGGGCGCCCTGCAGTTGTGCAAACACATCCCCATCCAAACGACTTCGCAAAACTGACCCGGGAAGCTGCGGTTAAACGAGTTTTTCGCCTGCTGCGCCTGCTGCCAGCTAACCGCTGTCGCCCACCGCCATTCAGGTGGCCTTCACACCAGACAAGCCCCAAATCGCGGAACCCAAGTGATATATCGCAAAACCACGCGCCTGAGCCCCGCAGACCCTCTACCTGCTGCCAACCGTCGCACGTTCTTCCAGTGGTGAGCCTCGGCGGGCCTCGGAGGAGTGCTGGCGGCTACAGGACCTCTGTTGAGCGTCGCGTTCAGCCCCACGCCGCTGATTCAGACCTCCCGACCTGGCTGCACATGCGCAGCTGCGCGCGCCCGAGAAGTTAGAATTGGCGGCCCCCACACCGCTGCCCATGCCCCGCAGGTCCAAAGGAGCACGTGCATTGAGAAGCAGGCATGGGTGCGGCCCGCAGAGCGGGCCTGCTGGCGGCGCTGGCGGTGGTCATCTGCGCCGCCGGCGTGGTGTCGGCAGCTAAAGGTGGGAGCAGGAACTGCAGGACCAGTTCCAGGGCAGCTTCCCTGAGACTGGCTGCGCCGTCTGGCTTTTGTCGCAGAGGAACCCGTTGGTACATAGTAGCCGGTGCCGCAGTTTGAAATGGAACGCCCCGCGCTGCCGCCCCGCAGAGTCGGAAGACAAGGCACAGGCGCAGGCCACAAACCCGCTTTACCAAGCGGCTGCCAAGAAAGCCACTGACGCGAATCCAAGCTCTGGCTTTGAGCTGGTACCCTCGCCCCCAGTTAGTCCCGATGACGTTGGTGGGCATGCCGCGCCGCGCCCACCTCTCCAACATTGCCAAATCGCCCTGCCCTGCCCAGCCCAGCCCTGCCTGGTTGGCCCGCTGCATGCCTGTGCAACCATGAGATCTTGACAGTGCCGCTGCTGCTGCTACTGCTGCCTGGCCCGCAGGCGGCGGGGAGGACGCCTCGGTGATTGTGGGCGATGAGGGCGCCGCCTTTGCCGGGTGTGGCGGAGACAGCGAGATCATTTCTGCCATCTTGGACCCCATTTATGGCAATGCTGCAGTGGGCTGCAATGCCTCAGACAGCTACAGGTGGGCCTGGCGCTCGCTCTGCTGCCAGATCAGCACGCCCGACCCCAGCCCGTCATGTTTGTCCTGCCAAGCGCTGCCGCATGCCGTCGCTGCTGCTGTCGAGGCGATCATGGCCTGCGCTGCTGGCGCCTTGCAGGATCATGGCAGCGGGCTGCTTGGGGCTGCGTGAGTGTGTGGTGAGGGCATCAGCCGATGTCTTCCAGGACGCCTGCCCCCCGGGAGTCGGCAAGACGCTCAGCTTCAGCTACAAGTGAGAGGCGCTGCTGCATTGTGTGTGCACCTGACCATACATGCCACTGTTGTGGACTGACGCGGCTGCTGCTGCATGCTTGCACTTGGCAGGCAGGAGGGCAGGGTTGAACGCCACATTTGCTTCTGCTGGTGTGCAGGTGTAGCCCAGGCGCCGTCACTCCTCCAGACGGTGGCGGCGGTGGCGGTGGCGTCGGTGCCGGTCCAACCCCGAGGGTGTCCCCCTCCCCACCCCCACCCTCCCCAGCCCCTCCATCCCCAGCTCCTCCATCCCCACGGCCACCTTCCCCACAACCGCCTTCCCCGTCCCCACCCAGCCCTCGGCCTCCGCTCCCGCCCTCGCCAGCCCCACCCAGCCCCAACCCGCCACCTCCCCCCGACCTGGGCAACGCTCAGGCCTCTGTGCTGTGGGGAGCCAATGGCGAGCTGTACCGCCCTGGAGGCCGCCTGGGCGACTGGAGCCAGGCAGGGTACTCAGGTAAGGGGTCCCCAGCTGCGTCATGCTGCCGCTCCGGCTTCACCACTGCCTGCACGGCATGTCATCTCAGCCCCAAGCCACACGGCACACACTTGTGATGATTTCTGCCCTTGCTGTGCCAACCGCCCTGCTGTGCAGCCAGCGAGCGTCCCATCCCCAACTATCCCGTGAAGTATGATGTGCGCAACTATGGGGCCAGGGGAGACGGCTTCACAGGTGCGGGCTACTCTGATGGCGCAGGAGCAGCCAGCCAGCCAGCAGCAGGAGGGCATGCAGGACGGCGGCGCGGCTGTGTGCTGCTGTGCCGGCCCGGCTCCCCTGCTGCCTGGGTGATGCCCAGCTCCATGCCATGCATGCTCAATAAACCCTGCGACCTGCAGATGACAGCGGCGCCATCCAGGCTGCCATCAATGCCGCTTCCGTTGAGGCGGCCAGGACGGGCAATGGCGTGGCGGTGTACATGCCAGACGGGACCTATGCCATCCGGAAGACCGTCAAGATCACCCAGAGCAACGTGGTGCTCCGTGGCTCCTCGGTGGGGTGCCAACCGCGCCGGCCATGCGCCGGAAGAAGGCCATGCGCCGGCATCGCCCGGCGCGGTGTGGAGCAGCCGGCTGCTGCATAGCCCAGGCCAGCACATGCAGGCCTGCTCGTCTGTGCTGTGTGTGGAGGCTCGCAGTTTCTCTCATCTTGCCGCCTTGCTCCTGCTGCAGGTGGATCGCTGCATCCTCTATTTCCCTGTCCCGCTGCAAGACGTGTATGGCTCAGCCACGGTATGGGCATTCGGAGGGGCTTGGCTCAGGTGGGGATTGCTTGGAATGTGGAAGGGCACACTTTTATGCCGCTGGACGCAGCTGCCAGGGCAAGATACCCCCACGGCATCTGCATTGGGTCTTTTCGGTCATGGTCCGCCTGTGTCCAGCCGCCGCGTGCGTAGCACAGCGATGCTCCGCTGTGCTATGCACGCTGCGCCAGCCAGGCTGCACACCAAGTTGGGCTGTTTACCGCTCGAGCCAACCTCACAGCTTTGGCTGGCCTGCCCACCCTATGCCTTGTTGCAGCGCGGTGGGCAAGCGTATGGACAGCAAGGATGCAACCACCAGGCTGACCGATGTGACCGCAAATGCCAACAGGGGGGACTACCGGCTTCAGGTGGGCGCGTTGCCAGACGTCTATTTCTGCTTCTGGGTCTGATGTAGGGACAGGCTGCCGCAGCCCTGGGCGGCCCGACCTGGCAGGCCATGGCGTGTAAGCATCGACCCCATTGCTGATCCTGGCTGCTGGGCATGGCGCAGGTGGCCAGCACCAACGGTATCGTGCCCAGGATGTGGGTGCGCCTCTTCATGCCATCCTCCGACAGCACCGGACGCCGCCGGCTGCAGAGTATCGACAGTGGCGCGGCTCCACGGGCAGGGCGCAAGCTACGCCAGGCGCTGCCCGTGCCACAGGGCAAGGTGTCGGTGCTCGGGGGAGCAGAAGCCCCGACGCAGCCAGTGCCAAACGGCAAGGTCACTGTGCTCAACACTCAGCCTCAGCAGCAGCCCCAGCAGCAGCAGGAGGGGCCGGTCGTCCCCCTGGTGTTTGAGGACCCCTCCCTGCAGGCAGCCCTGGAGGCTGCGATGAAGGCGCAGTGGGAGATTGCTGCAGCCGTGGATGCAGACCCCAACAAGGTGTGCAGTTGTCACTTGCTTGCTCCAGCTGGTCAGCACAGGCTGTGGACATGGCTACTCCACACTCCAAGCAATGCCAGTTGGCACATGCTGTGATTCAGTCGAAGCTGCCCGACCGAGTGCCTGGCCTACCTGCCATGCTGCTGCACCTGCAGGTGCCAGCACAGTCGCTGGAGCCCAACGGCACAAACCCCTTGGGTCTGGACCCCATGCTGCTGGCAGCTGCCTACTACGGCGTACAAGCAATGGCGTTTGACCAAGATGTCGTCGAGGGAGGTGAGCAGCTGGTGCCTTCAGCCCCTGCTGTCTCTGTGTTTCAGCACCAGACAACTGCTGCCATTTGCACCACGCCAGCGCGCTGGCTGGCTTGGTTGCGTGCAAGCAACCTGCATCCCGGCTGCATGCCGTGCCTGCCGTGCAGAGCCTGACAAGGCCCCAGCAACAGCAACGCTGGGCACCCTGGAATCTTACCTCTACGGAAACAATGTGGCTGACAGCGGCACCGCGACAAGTGAGCACCTTTCTGTTGCTGCTGTCCAGCAGCTGCGCATCGCTGCTGCATGGAAGGCTGGGCCAGCCTAGTCGTGCCCGCCGGTCGGCTGCAAGCTGCGCCCCGATTGCAAACAGGGCGCCTTCTTTCTCTGGTGCTTGCTTGCAGATATGTTTTACGGCAAAGAGCGTGTGCGCTACTTGTCGCGCGTGGTAGCTGTCGGCCCTGGATGGGTGCAGTTTGAGCGGCCACTTCCCTACGACGTCCGTCTCAAGTGGAAGGTGAGGTGGCTGCTGGCCTCCCCCAGCTGGCGCCTGGGCCTTTGGCATGGGGTTCAGCGCAGCTAGCACGCGAGGCCTGCTGATATTCTGAGTGCTGGGATTGAGCCTCATGCGTAGTTGTTGTGTTTGATAGATCGGTGCCGCTGCCATGTGCAGCCTGTGCTGCACCGCTTTGCTCCCAAGGTGTCTGGGGTCGGCTTTGAGAGCTTCCAGATGGTGTTCAAGTGGAGTGAGTGGCCCCTCCAGCTGCCAGCTGCGTGCTATGCTCATATGCAGGCAGCCTGCCTGCGCTGAGCAGCTCTTGCAGCTTGTGCGGGCTGCCTCAACGGCGGAGCAGCTGATGTGGCGGCACTGGCAGACCGACAGTTTGCCTGCGTGGCGGTGTCCTTGCAGGCCCCTACCCCGATCACCTGGAGGTGAAGGGCATGAATGGCATCGCCCTGTATGATTTAGCCAACAGCTGGGTGACCAATGTGAGTCGCTGAGTCCTGGGCGAGGGCCGCGGCACATTTGCTGAGGGTCGGGGGACTGTCCTTCGCAACCCACCTGAATGCTTCAGCCAACCGCCGTGTCTGCACGCCAGTCGCTTTGCCATGCTAGCAGCATCTCAGCCTCTGCCTCTGCCCCTCCCTGCCCCTGTCTTGTTCCTGCCCTCCTGCAGGTCAAAGTGGTGGATGCAGACAACGGAGTCATGGCAACAGGCGTGGACCTTGTGACCTTCTCCGACATAGTGACGCAGTTCACCAAGCCGCGGTGGGTTTGGCGGTTTGCGCAGCTGGTGCCGCTGCCATAACCACTATGCTCGCTAGCAGCAGCTGGAGCAGCCGCAATTCCCTGGTAGCCAGCTGCCATCCTTCTCTCCCTCCTTGTTGATTGCTGCCCTGCTGCCCACTCTGCAGCGGAACAAATGACATGGCCAAGCGCCAGCTCAACGGCCACCATGCCATCTGGACCTCCACCTGCAGCCTGGTGCTGGTCACGCGGTGAGCCTGCGGGCAGCGCTGACTGCGCCAGGGCTAACCACGGGGCGGCCAGCAACCCTGCATTCACACACTGCATGTCCAGGGATGCACGCAATGAGCCCAGGCCCCTTCTGCTTGTCCCTTGCTCAGCGCTTGCACGCGCCCTCCCAGCTTTGTGCCTCCATCTCACTGCTGCGCCGTTGTGGACCCCTGCTCCCACAGGTTTGACATCCAGCAACGCTGGTTCCACGACCTGTCGGTAGATGCGATGGCGGAGCACACTGTGTACAGCAGCGGGAGGGGGCTGGACATCAACATCGACTGCCACAGGGCAGGTGAGAGGGCTGGAAGTGTGCAGTGGTGATGGCTGGCGCCAGCTGTCGGTTGGACCCCTGCGCGGGCACCTCGGCAGCACAGCTGCTGGTGCTGCTGCCGGTGGTGCTTGTGACGCTCGGCCCTGGCGCCGCATAGCTACTTTTCATGGCCACAGCGGCGGCACTCATGTGCAACCAGATGCCTGTGCCTGACTGATGCAGCGTCCCTGCCACCTGCCTCCTGCCGCAGCCGTGCACAACAACCTGTTCACCAACATCAACACCGGCCTGGGGCTGCGCACCTTCGCGAGCGGCGGCGAAAAGTCGCGCGGCGCAAACGCCGCGGCCAACAGCACCTGGTGGGCGGTCTACCCATCCCCGACCAGGCCAGTGAGCGTGCCATCCTGCGACTTTGGCCCCATGCTCACCTTCTTTGGCTCGTGGCTGGCCCCGTCGCCAAGGCGCCGGCTTCAGCAGGCGGAGCCCGTCAACGCCACAGCTTTGCTGGACGAGGCCACGGCTGTCAAGGTTTCGGCGCAGGCGGTCAGCCCGTGGTGCACGCAGCAGGGGTGGTTTGTGGAGCAGGTGGATGCCGGCAAGACAGTCTACCCTGCAGACTTGTTTGCGGCGCAGGTGGCTGCGCGCAAGGAGGGTCGCATGCGCTGAGGCGCCGACGGCAGCGGGGGATCCGGCTCGGCCGCTGGGCGGGGTCCATCACGGGCCATGGCGCCTTACCTTCCTTGCTGTATTCTTCATTATGATTTCTTATTCTCTCCTCTTCTCTAGTTTTCCATTACCCCAGTTTCTCTTCATTTCACCCAGTTCTCATACGATGAGAACCGCTCCACCATGATCTCCATTCTCCCCCTGCCTCCTCGCCTTCCATCATCCATGATCCGGGCCACAGGCTCCCAGCCATGGGATCGCGTGCATATCCCACATGTATACACAGGCGCACTCCTGTTGCCGCTACAAATAGCAGGGGCTGAGCAAGTCAGACGCTGAAGTACGCCCGCAGTACTGACACGCCAGTTACCTGCAGCTCAGCCTTGGAGCGCGTTTGCGCTGCATCACCAATCCAGGCTTCCCTGCTGGAAGTCGAGAAGAAACCCCGTGGAGCCAGCTTTGCCCTGCCAGCCGAAGAGCCACTCGTCCGATTGTTGCCAGCCGCTGGTAGAGGTGCGCCGCCCTGACGCTGTTGGCATGCAATTGTACGGCTCGCCAGGAATGAACCGCCGCTGGCAGAGCGGACATGGTGGTCGTGATGGTGTGGGCATGTGGACCGCAACTCTTCCGGGAGTTATGCGTTCCGCTTGTCTTCTTGCGCCTGTAGGACCGAAGAAGGGGCATCCTGGCCTGCATGATCGGGGCAGCGGGTGCGCCCCTCAGGCGCCCATGGGCACCGCTGCTGGCGGTCACGCTCGCCCTGCTTGTGGGCGCCGCATCGGGTGAGCCTTGCTGCCTGCTGCTGCTCCGTCTGCCCTCATGCTGCGGGTGTCAGCAGCGAAGCAACGCAGCTCGATGATAGTTGGCAGTGGTTGGCAGCCAGACACGGCGGGTTGGGATGGCTGGGGGAGGCTTGCTTGCTTGCTTGTGTGGGCTTAAAGTCTGGTAAAGCAAGAACTAGCTAGCAAGGAGGTGCCGCCAACCGCCCCAACCGACCTGCTGTCCTTCCGGGCACAGGCAGGCTGCTACTCAGCCTGAGGCTATCCGCTGATAAACCATGCTGCCCATGGGATTCATTCATTCAGCACACAGACCGGCCGCCTCTTGCTCGAGGGCGGCCCACTTTGGCCTGGGCAGCCCGGGCCGCCCTCCCCCCCGGGCGCATGTTCGGTGTTGGAGGGGTGTGCCCAGCGATAGGGGGCCCCTGAAGGCATGCGCCGAGGCCGGGAAGCGTGGTTCGGCGCTGCTGCACGCTTGGCGACTTGAACAGAACCGCGTGCCGCCGAGCTGCGGCCGCAGTTTCCGGCCCACGGTCTACGGCCGCAGCCACGGGACTCGGCGGCACGGCGTTTGGGCCCAAGC